ATTTCTTTAAGACTTAGGAAGTAGTAACGAGTAACGTAACTACGTTACTTGAAATAGTAACACAAGTACGTTACCCGTTACTGTGTCGAAAACGAAACGAGTGGGTTACTACGTTACTGAAAAAAGTAACGCGTTACCAAAAACACCGTTACTTGTAACCTGTTACCGCCAAGACTGCAGAACGGACGAAGCGTTCCTGCTTGTCATGCCTTGTGGTCAAGAGAGTAGGAAAAATATCATACCTTGACTTGAAGACGCTGTGTGTATTTAATCAATTAATGAATACACACACTTCCGCGGACCCACAGGCTGCTGATCCCGCCGGCAGTGCGGAAACCAACTCGAAGTAATCGTAGACCTCGAGAGACGTGTACGCCTGCACCGTGTCGGCCGTGAACTGGCTTGGCGAAAAAACTAAATAAACGACGACGTGAGCCATCGACGTCGGTGGCAGCAACTTTACGTCGGAAGTCCAGCAGGTCTTGTTTATACGGCCGTACGGATCCTCGTAGTCAACGCCGTCCACGCACAGTTTGTTTCGATACCGCTGCCGTTCAGGCTCGGGTAACGAGCTCAAATACTCGGGCATAGCATACGATATACGTTGTGAGGAAATACGACGCACTAATAAAGATACAAGCGTCCTTACAACGTCAACAACGAGCGCACGCCATAGAGCGCAATGGCGAAAACACGGAGAGCCGGGCTGCTTTTGCCCACATAGCTACCGCGCATGCGCGTCCTTCCGGCCGTGTTGGTAAACAGAGCCGCTCCGCGTGTCGGTCTATACACGAACTCATCTCTGTTACGTCACGGCGCGGTGGTGGCGCGTCGGGCGCACTTCTGGTCTGGGGCTGTGAGCGGAAGCCGCCATAGCGCACCGGCATTCCTGTGTTACTTTGGAAGAAACCGGACAAAAACGTGCCTTCTCGTCAAAACGCCGCGAATGGGGCTTTACCAAAAGTCGGGAAAGGTTTGAAGGTCAGTTTTCATACGTTTTCTGCCTGCTTGGTTTTTCCGTGAACGTGAACAGGGGCCGTGAAAAAGGAAAAAGACGCCGTCGGACCACGATCGCTTGGGGTGAAAGCACTTTAGATTGAATTCACGGATACTTGTGGTCGTCAGATTTATTTGTTTTGTTCCAACATGAACGCGGGAAGACCGTCGAGTTGCACGGTACACCTGCGGATTACGTTCAGTGCGTCATCAGGTTCAAGCGGCCGCCTCATCGTTCGAGCTGTCGTCTGCTCTCTCAAACGTTTCTGTTTGTCATCTGCTCGTTCAAACGAAAGCTGCCCGTAGACCAAACGTCGACCCGGAAATTGCGATAAGAAGCGTAGACCTCAAAAGACGTTTAAGTTTGAAGGTTGCTTCGGGTAAGTAGGCTCGGTGTAAACAGTAGATATAAGGAGATGTTTATAATTGTTACTAGTGGCCATCACCGACTTGTTATGCGTGATCCACTCGGTACAATTCTGCTTGTGAATTTCAGTATTGACGTCGACATCTCAGCTACGATTCAGGCTTTTGCCGCCCGAGCGACGTTATGACTGAAAATAGCAAACAGAACCTCACCATGTGAATCAGGCTTTAGCGTCCATTCTGCGGCGTTCACGCAGAATGAATGAATCGCCGCGTGTTACATTATTCACGCCGAGTTTTGCGGTGTAACGAGCCTCGTTAATTACTCTGAGGCCGCTCAAGTAGTCAGACATTGTCAGGAAGTCGTAGAATCAACAATTCCAACGCGAAAAAGAGCGCAGGGACTCACACCGACGCCGTCAACATCCCATTCCAATGGTTTGTTTATGGGCAACTGCGAGCTTCTTGCCCACACCCCCCTCCCGCATGCGCGGCGTCAGTGGCGTCCGCTAGGGGCGCTCCGGTTAGTTTGTAAACATGAGGTGGTGTATAGTAGAGATCAGTGGTATACTGCCCTGCACTGACACGAGTAGTGAGGTCCCTTTCTGACGTTCTGAAAATAGCGAGATTGCGCGTGCATAGCTTTGACAGACGCTGAAGATGCGCGAGAGAGGAGATTCCGTAAACTCCTATATGACGTCACGGTTTTGGAAGGAGGGGCTTGAGTTTTACTTCATCCATGAATTTCTGTAGCCTCCGTGCGCCAAATTGAAAAATAATCTCGATATTCGTGATCCCATAAGCCGAATGAAGACGATTTAGGTGTTTTTCACAAATACAGAACCGCTTCAGTTTTCTTTTAATTTAGCTGCCTTGAGCCATACTTCCTGCTCTCCTACGAGGAGGTTGAGGTGGTGTAGTTGCGCGCTTTCTCCACGGGAAGCGGGACCGCTGGCAGAGAGATACGTTTTGATGGGAAATCAAATCTTAGAAACGCGTTCAAATTGAACTTCTTTTTTCGGGATGCCGTAAAATGCTGCGTATGAATGGTATTTCTGAAAAGGGATCATGGTTTAGTGGTATTCCATGATTTCCAGGTTTTCCACTGAAACCAGGGCGTCCAACTGGACATTATGCCGGTTTGATTCTAGTTCAGGTTCAGTAGCTTTGCGTATCGTTCTGGTTCGGTTCCGATTCATTCATGATAGCAAAATCATGGTTCGATTACCGGTTCCACAAAGTCCGAACAGGTTCCAATCACTAATCAAGAAAGAAGAAGAAAAAAATCTTCATAGCTCTCAGCTTTTAAGAAAAAAAAGGTGCACTGAACCTGGCGTAATCTTAATTAGGAAATACTACAAGGAACGTTAGAAGCTGTGCTGCGGAAACAGGGAAAGTAAAAAGAGATGTATATATGCTTAATTCCTTATCTTCTTTTTTTTATCTTGAACACTATTTTACGCAAATTACGGGATAGAGGCGCTGGAAAACGACAACGAAAGCACAGTGCTCACATTCGAGGTTAATTAGTCAGCACGCACCGTACTAGCATACGACCTGTCTCGAACGACTGAGTTAAAGACGAGAAAGTCAGCGAAGAACAGCGAAATATGATTCGATGGAAAAATTAGAAAAAAAGGAAACAGGCTATAGGGAGTACTCCCTGGCGGCCATAGCTGCGTGTGCGGCTGCTGAACGCGTGCAGACAGCAAGCGTTCAGCAGCCACAGTTATTTTTGCGACGTGCAATTCGCACCATCAAGATTGCTGGTCTTAGCAGGCTATTGATGTGAACTCGTTCTGAGCATGGGCTCTAAGCATCGCCCTCAAATATGGTGTCCAGTGAATGCTGCATTTAAAATATACGCGCAAAAAATATTTTAGCTTTGGCGATAGGTGTCCCGGTGCCTGGCGCCCCAAGCTACAGGTTAAATCTGTTTATTTTTCAATATTATTGTGCCGCCTCTACGTTGCTGCCGTTTATTTAGACAACACTACGCTGCTGACCCATCACCGAAAATGTAGAAATGGACTTCCTGCCGCCAGTTGCAGAGCGGCGCGGCTCACATTTCATTAGCCGAACCGTTTTCCCACGAACTGGCAAATGGGTTGTGGTTTCGTTCGGTCAAGAATAATGGTTTTTAGCTGGTAGTCGGTTCGGATTCGGGTTTAGAGCGATAACCTGATTGAAATCATGCCTTTAAATTTACAAGTTAAAATTATGACTTTTTTTCACCTTTTCTGGATTGCACTTCGATTGGCGTGCTCCTTTTTGTATTCCGACGCGTCAAAGACGCATTTTGGAGCGCTTGCTCGCCATATATGCCATCAATCGGCTTTTCTCTGAAATGCGTAGTTTTTGCAGGAACGATCTGGGCGGCGTTCCATGAAATGTCATGTATGTTTTTCGCAAAATATACGTGGAAATAAATATGAGCTCTATAAATCAACGTTCGGAGATCTATACCAAATTATCCTAAAATAGAAAAAAAAAATGTATTACAAAAAAAGATGTACTACTAATGAAGGGAGCGATTTGTTAAACCGACTGGAAGATGATCAGTGTTGTAGCCACCTGCGAAAGAATTAACTTAAAAAGTACTAGCGACCTTTATCTCCGAAGTTATATAACTCGTAGAAGGTAGCATTTAAGGAGCGATTGTTTAAATTTGTTTAAAGGATACCAAACAGTAATTTCGGGAATTCAGTGTGAAGACGATGTGTTTTTTCATTTCCCCGTCAAATGTATCGGGAAAATCGACGTCAGACTTTGTCATATCTCATGACCCCCACTTGACACCGTGACGTCTTGGTGTTATATTACCTTTCGTCACGCGACGTGGTGACGTAAGCGACGGTGTCACGCGATATCATGACGTTTTGTGACGTCAATTTCCCCGCTGAATTTTTAGAGGAATGCGCGGACAGGCCAATGGGCCGACAAATTTCTGAAATAAGTTCTCGTTAAAAAGCGTTCCGTGCTTCAAAATTGGGCTGTTGGAATGGTCGTTGAACATTTTATGCAGCGAGAGGTTGGTCTACTTTTGAAAAATTGGGTCATCGCTATAAAAGAGCATATAGCCACTGCAACACGATTGGTAACCTGAGGCGTTATAACTTGCATCACGCGCTAAGGGTTACATGACCACATCGCGGGACGATTGTCTTCTATGTTGATGCTCACCTTAACGGGCTTTATCCGAAATACTACACTCTCAAAAAAGCCCGTACGCCTACTTTCCCGCAGAAAACTCGGAGAGCCGATCACCGCAACTTACGGAGGCAGATTATGATACCGAAACATATGTTTAGACCAAAAAACGTGACCTTTAGCAATGCGAGCGTGACGTTTTGCATTGCTTAATGTCACAACTCAGACTGCGTTTTTTGGTCCAGACGTGTGTTTCGGCATCGTCTTTCGCTGAGCTGCCTCCGTAAGTTGCAGTGATTGGCTCTCCGAGTGTTGTGCGGGAAAGTAGGCGGACGGGCTTTTTTTAGAGTGTAACAAAATACTAAACTGTAATCGCGCCAGTCGTGACTGTTTATGACATATATTAAATTTTGAAGATGTTCACATACTTACTTTTCACCTTAACACAACAAGAAGTCAACTCGAACAGATGGAAATTGACAAAACACTTTTTCATGAAACCAAAACTTTTATTGGATGGTACGAGCAATAATAAATTAATACTTTGCCGGCGTAAACATGTGTAGAGTAAAAAAAAAGTTTGTGAATAAGCTGATCCACTGGTCTAGGAAAATAGCTTTTTCCCAGTAGCCACGTGCACTAAACACACTAAAAGATCGAAATCATCAGTGTATTCATAAATTTTAAGAGAGACATTGTCATTCCGTAGTCCGAAACTAAAAACAATGACAAGAACGACCCATCAAGTTGACAAAAGCACATAGAAATGGCACACATATTTAAGTTCGGCGTAGGCAATACGTGATTCACGCTAGCTGAGTTATTTGATTTATCTGAAAAGAATGACTAGGCGTTGCGTTCGTTTTGTGACAATATTGAAGTAAAAACATTGTCCACCCTGCCGGAAAAAAACAGTATAACTTTTCGCTAACTGAATTTCGGAAAAGGAAATCTAACTGAATTTCTTGCTGGAAACCTAAAATCCAGTTTGCAGACAATCAAATGTAGTATATAAAAATTTTTAATTTTCTATGGCTCAATAAAAACAAATCCCTTCTTGAAAGGTTCTTCCGACGCCCCCAGAACTATTTCAGCTCGTGATGAACCGTTTCGTCTGAAACACTATCGCCCCCTGGTGCACTAGAAATGCAACTGGGCGACGAAAACCTCTCGCACAAAAAAGGAGCTTAAAAGAACCAATTATAGATTGTTCACGAAGAACCTATTTCGGGGTGCTTAAAAAAACTTTTCAGAGAGCAAAATATGGACAAGCCGAAGAACCCCCACCAGTTCTTTTACGACCAGATTTTTTTAGAGTGCGGAGTTAGGCTTTTTTAGATTAAAAAGGAAAAAAAAAAACGCTTCTTTGGGCCACTAGGGAGCTTTAGGAAAAAAAATAGCAACAACAAAGCCATACTTATTTTATTAACATTTTTTCTTTTAAAGTCAAAAGTCCCAAACGCCCACGAAAATGTTTCCTTTTCTTTTTTCCCCATTGCCCCGAAAAATGAAGCTTCATGTTAGTTCGCTGAGACAATTGCGGTTTTTAGCTATCACCCTCGTCACACGTTTACTCTTTCATATTCTCTAAAAACATTGCCCGACCAGGTCACACCGTCGTGCTAAATTACAGCGTTGAAGCACGCGAAACCAATTTTCTAGATTTATTTTAAGGAACCTCGATCTATTTTTGCCTCGCTGTAAATGATTTAGGAAGCATCTTGCACATGGGGTGGGCATTCTCGTTCTTATGTAAAGTCTATTATTTGCAAAAACGACCTAGTGAGTGTAGGAGTTTGATCACGTACATTTCGTCTGAGACCCAAGGCCGGCTGAGCCCTTTTCCAACTCATGTAATAAGTACAAAGCCACCATACCAGAAACAGGAGGGACGATTATAGAATAGTAAGAAGCTCTACGCTAACGCGATATGGTTTCTATTGTCTCTTGCAACGCATAAACAATAGTACAAGAGACTTCATCCCGAATTCGTACAAAGAAATGGCCTTGCAGTGGAAACGAGCTGTCTTTCCGTCGTCACGAAACGCGTTGAACGTCTGCCAGTGCATTTTCGCTACGATTGGTATTCACAAAAACAAAGATACGCCCAATTTCCAATGCTTGGTAACTTAGATATTAAAAATACCAATTTTGGTTCTCGTTTGTTTGTTGTTTTCTTTTTTTTTTCTGGTGAAAAAAGGGGGGGGGGGTATTTTTGCAGTTTATAAGGTGCAACAGAGTATATACTTTCTAAAGTACTCTTCTAAGTTCAACAAATTGTATGGTTTGCATACCGTGCAGACATCGACTTGTTCACTCCACTATGCACCCATAATCCGAAAAAAATTGTGTCGAAATCTTTAATCAACACGTATAGTTCTACTTAGCGAAAAAACATACAACTCTGTTTGATAATACTCCAAACGTACCTTATTAGAAGCATTTCTTATACCGCTGCCATTATGTATTACAACCGGCAACAAAAGTTTCTGAAAAATGTGGTGGGAAAGATTGTTTGGCTCGCAAAACAAAACAAAAAGAAGACGGCTTCGCTATGGTGGTTGTCGGTTTCTCGGGATATGCTAGGTTGATATGTTTAAATAATCACATTTTTTTTACAGATTCTATTGCGCTATCAGGTGGAACATCTCCAAATTCTAGAAAGTGTGAAATAAAAAAGTACGACATAAGTATTTCTACCCGGCCAAAAAAAAAAAAAAGCCAAAAAAAAAAAAACAACCTTTTGGCACACCCAGAAAGTCAGTACACTTGATCACCGGTTTTTGGTTGATTTTTCTAAGCTGGCCATTTTTTTACGTTCTGTTCCCGAGTTTCTCTCAGAGAGTACCGATGAGCATTCTCCATGATACCCCAGTAGAACCGGATACCTCCTCAATTGCATCCAGCAGTTCAGAAAAGTACAGGCTGCGTAGATAAGAAAAAATCAAAACTCTCGCGTGGGTAATGCTATAAACAATAAGGGGTCTTCACATTCACGTTTGTACTATGACATTGACTTCGAAACTCATTACTAATGAGTTCAATCATTGCAGACACGATGCCCAAGGATTAAACCGTTAGAAATATTCCGACAATTACTGTGAAAGAGAAACTTCAATATTCCCAGGTTGTGCACCGGATATTCGGTTTTGCCAGCGGATATGCATCAGTGGATCGCGCAGTAGAATATACATTCGTATTTAATTCTAAACAAATATTACATTTTTTTTTAAATTTCGCAGATATTTTTAATTTACTGGATAATTCTCGTATCTGCGTGATTGACATCGCCCATTAGATTGTGCGGCAGTTACTTGTGTTTCTACAAATTAATTCATTATAATATAAGATATACAAAACTGGGGAACACAGTTAAGCCATAACTACTGTACATCACGCACGAGGAAATCGTAAATCCCGTGATTTCTGATTACGGTCCTCGAAAACACTTTGGACAAACATGAAGCTAACAAACGCTATGACTCAGCTGGATTGTTCGGATCATTCAACCGCAAACCATGCGTAACGACCCGATGCGTTGACCGCACTTGCGAGTGCATACTTTGTCTCTGCCTTGAACAAGAAGCTTTGTATGCGCTCAAAACTGATACTCGAAGATGCCCATTTTAAATCTGCCGCCAAGATAACCCCTAATTTTAGAGCACAAGAATCCGGGCAATATTGCCTGCCATAATTTCTTTAAGCTAGCTGTCAATGACTGAATGCAAGGAATATATAAAGGGGGAACTATATGTTTAGTTCACCCCTCAGCTGATGGCATGGTGGGAGTTACCTGTTCGTGAAATCACTCAGCCGTTGGCTTTACACACCTGATCACGCTCTCTGCGCGGCGTACTCACTCGCGGAGAGCTCGATAAGGTGATCAAAAGCCAGGCATCTGACAGGACATGCGAGAACATAGTTTGCACAACCATATCAGCTTAGCCGTGAACGAAGTATCGTTAAACTATCCGTGATAGGGGTCACCTTGCTCTAAAGCGAACGACATGGGATAATCAAATGGGCAGGTGCTCTAAGAGCGATCGAAAGACGATTTCTTTTAAACTGGCCGCCGAGCATTAGGTCAAAGCAAAATTCAGGGCTCGATGGGCGATGAAAATGCTGAATAATGAAGCTGTGGTCACCGATGGGTACAACGCCGGCAAAGAGGCGTCACTGGAAATGGAAACCCTTGGAACAGGAAGGATGAAGACTTGTTTCTGGAGCCACTCGCCAGCTTCGTACTTTTTCTGCTGTCTCAGCTCTCGGCCAACACGGCGAAGAATGTTCTCATTGTACTCGTTCAACCACTTGACCTGCAACATGTAAAGGTGGGTACTAAATTATTTGCGAAAAAAAAACAAAAAAAAAACGGCGAAGCACAGTTTAGCTAATGGTCTTTGTAGATTCATAGAATATGCAAATACAAAGTCTGTTTAGTGTTCAGAGACGGAGGGGAATAGAGCAGCCATGGAATAAAACTTCGCCAGACCACTTCTTTTCCCTTTGAAGACATACAGTACATAGGCGGAACATTTTATTTTGATTGTATCTATTAGTTAGACTAAATAGAATAACAAATGGGCGGAGCATATTTCCAGCTAAATCTAAAACTCTTCGTGCCAAAACAACATTGAGCAGCCGTTACGAATCATTGAAGAGCTTGCTTTGACACTGGTTGGTAAATTCACCGACACGCGGTCTGATTTTCCGGTTCATATATCATCTAACTTCGGTTGCTAGGATCTCTCAACATAGAAAAGAAAAAGAATTGCAGAACGTTCATAGCATAAAGGCAGTTAGAAAACTGTAGCGGGCGAATTAAACATAGGGCAAAAGAAGTCTGCAAAAGGCTTAAAAAAGAATACCTAAACAAAATAATGCATTGAATAAAAACTGGAATGGATACACTGGCATGCCAAGATGCCTTCAAGGGCCATGCGCGATAGCCATAATACTGTTTTTCACTGGTTATTCACGGGTAATCTAATTTGAATGTCTTCTAGACGGAGGAGTTGGAATCTTAATTCTTTTTATGGCCTGAAATACTCGGGGGCACTACCCCACAGCTCTGTGAAGAACTTCAATGCAGCGTTGCCATAAGAATAAATTTGCCGGCAGAGTAGAAATTTGTAATTCTTGAGCCTTTCGTGTCCTGCTTGCTAGAACCGCCATACCAAAAAACATCGGGTGAAAAATTCCCCGTGTCTCCAAGCATCTGAAAGGGGTGCCGGCGCCGCGTTCATGGAGCCAGTGATTGGTAGCGCAAGCCACCACTCTACTGAAGTAGAGCCGTAGAGCCACAAATGCAAGAAACCAGATCAAGAAAAATTGGTTACAGAAAATCAATCCACCAGAAGAACATATAATGGTATCCCGCTGGCCGGCGAATGGTTTGTCAACCAGCCTGATGGCGAGGATTGTTTTTGTGCGTGCTTTTAAAACCAGCTTTTTTATTTTATGTGCACACTAAACGTGTACACACATCTACACATTTGAAGCTCGAGAAATATTTTTTTTTTGTCCTCCAAGAACCAAATTTTGTGAGACCTGTAGAAGGGTATGTACTTGGTCAAGTTGGTGATATATTGTATAGGATAAAAGCGCTAAGAAGACGACGGACATGTTAAAAGGATGATGAACATCACAGAGGGGTGTTGGTCCTTAATCGTTGAGCACTGTGAATATGTAGTACCCAAAACTGATACATAGGGTTGCTTTGTGTACTTTCTATATTATGTATTTTGAACGCGAATGCTTAATCTCTTTAAGGCGTTCTTATGTTGATTTTTGGTGTCTGGTGAAGCCTACTGAAATTTTTGTGAGTCTAGTATTGCAAACAATTTCCGATATGACAACGCTGCTTCAGTGAAACGTAGATACTTAAGCGAGTAGGCATGCAGCCTTCAATACCAAAAAAAGAAAAAAAGCACACTGTCGAGCTTGCTGGGACAACGTATAGCTTAACCTCTACAGAGGATGACACGTGCTGTTGCGTGCGGTTAACCATTAAATATACAAATCATTATTGAAATGTAGCCGTTGAAAGAGCCTCGAAGCATTTGAAGTAAAATTTGTGTGAAATTTCAACTTGTCGGTGACAGCCGGGAAGCGTTACGTGAAAACAAAATGAAAATGTCAAAATAAAGATTATCTGGGAGATAGTATACAACGCGGCAACACAGCCCTTTTCTAGCATTGAAGCCAAATGGTTCTGAATTTAGACGTCTCTATTGGGAATGCATTATTAGCTAAGAGCACCCGCTACACAGGAGCCTACTTTGCAAGGTTTCGTTACTTCGACTTTATCCGCCCATAACGCAGGAGCTGCAGAAGGCCCGAATGATATCCTCAGTTGACACTTGCTGATGAAGGAAATGCTTTGTTTAAGCCCGTTGTAAATCGAAAAAGCTGCTAATTACTGGAGTTCCAGAAGAGGGTGTGGTAACCTTCACTCCAACCTTTATTCAGGCTCCAAGACTTATTGAGGATAGAAGTTTTGAAAAACTGACAATGTCTGTCGCTTGCACTATGGTATAAAGGCGGCGGGCTGAGACACTTCGATTTTATCTCAAGCTCAACTAAAGAGAAGATTGGTGGCCCCATTAAACCGTGTGTTAAGGCACGGCAGCCCAGAGAACGTGGAACTCAAGTTCGTGATGCAGAATCGAAGAGGGATCCTGCATTCTATTCCGATCTCTGCCCGTTTCATTCTGAACGCGTATCGCACCGGAGTAAGGTCGTGTAGCGCTGCTGCGGGATACACGTTAATGTCCTCAGAATAGTTCTGACAACATTTTTCATCTACAGATGTTTCTGCTGTATACAGCGGAAACACCAGACGCCCACCGATGTCTAAACCTGCGCACAACAATAATTTCTCAACGCAAGTTTCCGCCGCTTAAATTACATGAAGCTACCAATTGCGTTAGTGATAACTAAATCTGTAAGAAGCATTTGTACCTTTAGTAGTGACATTAAGTCTCGACACAAATGGACGTCAACGGGACACAGGTTCATTGGCGTACCTGGCGTGTGTTCAGCAGTTCTGGAAGAATTAGTTTTCTCTCGAACGGTAGGAAGGCGATGGGCTCGAACTTGAAAAATTTCATACCACTGACGTTGTACTGAAAACAAGAGAGACAATTGAGACTGGGTTGATACGTTCAGATAAAAAAATGTAAACTACGTAAAATTATTTTGAAACCTTTTTTTACAGGTCAAGAAAGTCATTATGATAGTTCCTGTAAGAATTATATTGTTTATATTCGAAAATAAGCCGAGCTTTTGTAAACAGACCTGTGTCAAAACAGAAGTAACGCTTCGAATAAAAAAAGCAATGCGAGACAGCGATCTTGTTTCTCTGGTCTGACGTCATCGGTGCTCGCCATTCGCCTGGTTGCTTCCGTAAATCGCAATGACCCATCTCCCTTTTTGAGCGTTGCAAAGAACTTCACGCGCAGGCATTGGTCATAAAGATCTCGACCTTTTTTTGAATAAATACTGTAACGTTTTTATCCCGAGAACAAAATTAGGGAATATGGGATATGTATTCATACTTTAAAACGGTTGGAGCATACAGTGTCTTCTTTTGAGTCTACAGAACTTGCTGGCTTATGTGTGTTTTGTGTACCAAACAAACAAGTCTAAAACTACGTGAAATCAGTTTCCCGTAGAAATGGTTGGGACTACGAATTGTTCCCGCCAGGCCATGTTGCTCGACACCTGGATCAGCCGGCAAGGCAAGACCACTATCGTCACTTACAGCCTGGAGAGTTCCGATAATCTTATTATATCCCCGGTGCTAAGGAGATAAGTGCATTAGCCGATAAGGACACCAAAGAACAAATCACAAAGCAAGAAACGCGCTTCTTAAAACTCTCAGTTTACTGTCGAAGTCACCAATTTTATTCTGAAACTTTTGATATGTCTTAGAAGCTTCAATACCTTTTTTGCTAAAGTTTGCTTTTTGAAAATATATTTTTATATAAAAGTAGGTTGTTTACCTTAGGCGCTGTTTCCACCACTGTAGCCGTCGTCTCCAGTCGAATACCGAATTGGTCAACAAGGTAGAAACCAGGCTCTATGAACGGGGGAAAACCCAACATTCAAATTTTAACCCAGGCTAACATTAACATGTTTAAACAGATAGATGGCGGTTAAAAGTACACGCTAAAACTAGGCATTCCACGTAATGTCTCTTGACTACGGTGTGTTTCAGTCAGACAGTGTTTACACTGATCAGCCAAAACATTATGACCTCCCATACACTGTGTGAATGAGATCAGCTAGCTGAAGTGCCATCCGCGTTACCTACCACCTGCTGCTGCGGAAGATAGTTAATGGCCGCGAGTGATACAGGAGAATAATTTTTTTTATTGACGGATAGAGTTAGGGAGCTCGTGTCGCAGAAAAGCCGGCGTCGGCGTCGGCGTCGCCGTCGGTGGGACGGGAAAATCTTGATTGGTCGATAGGGTCATGACGTCACAGCGACGTGGCCTCGAGCGGGAATTTCAAACCACTCACAACGCTCACGTGAAGCGTGACGTCACGCGTGCAAAGAAAGCGATTAAAAGATTATATTTAATGGGAATTAAAGGTCTCATATATCAAATGATTTTACTTTATAAAGTAATTCATTCGCCTCAAAAGAAAAAAAAAAGAATAATTTTAGGTGGAAACGGAGGCCCACGACCAGTCGGTTGCGAGCCAGAAACGCTATCATCTTGGCCACGCAGACACGCTTTAGCCTCTTGGGAACGAGCGGGGGTTTATATGTTTAGGTGTCGCGTTTCACTCTTAATGGCCAAGCTTAAGCGTCCTCATGTAATGCCGTTGACCACGTTCGCACGTTTTTAGAATGGTTGCTGATTTACGCGTCTTTGATAATTGGGCTCGTTGTAATGGCCTAACGGCCCGAAACAAGTATCTCATGAAATGTAAAGCTTGTCGTATGCTCGCCAGCTACCGCCGTTGGTAACTATCAGAAGGGGAGAACGACAATGAAACCATTCGTAGACGCCGAGGCGTTGCACGTCCACGCTCCATCCCAGAAAGTGAATGTCGGAGGCTCTTCTGCTTTCCGAAGCAAAATAGGAGGTCACCTGCGACTCAGCTGGTAGTTAGATACAATGCAGGTCAAAGTATGCAAATGTTTCCGAGCACACAATTCATCAGTCTTTATATGATACTTATTACTCTGCAACAGACGATATTTGCACCTGTTTTGCGTACTGCAGGTGTCGTATTAGGCAATAGGTGATAATATTGAACATAACGCAAGATAAAGCAGCGCACCCGGTCCTAAGATCTAGCAAGAGGCATAAAAACCGGTCTCGTCTCTCCCAGTCGTATTCGGTTACAAAAATGTGAACGGGCCTTTACAGATAATAAAGATGTTTGTTCTCTCTCTCTTTCAAATCTTCGTGCGTGTCGAGGTGGGGGACGTATGCGTCAGTCACTTATTTAGCGAGCTAGAGAGTCCTCTTCGCTCACTTGTTTGAATCACGCATTGGTTGTACATAATAATATCCTCGATAAGAGGGGACGATTTAGAGGTATTTTCTAATATATAAAGTTTAAATATAATCTTAATACATAAAAATATTAGCTAGAAGAGTATTCTCCCCATGCGTCGCTTCTAAGAACGCGTCGGAAATTAAAAACAGCGCGGAAAGACGAGGACCAGACAAAGAAGTGACACGGACGTAGCGCTGACTTACAACTGAGTTTAATGAACGGAAACTCGCAATATATATTTGCGGTGTCACGAACAAAAAAAGAAAAAGAAAAAATTCAGCCCATGTGATGTATCACCAATAAAAATAAAACAATGATAAAAAACATTGAAAAAACATTGAAAAAACATTGAAAATGAAAATGAAATACGCCATGACACAGCCGTACAAAGTATGTGCTAAAAATCGAGCAAGTCACGGAACCAGAAAATTCAACTCTTTACCTGATAGGGCCACGGAAGGACTGCTTACACATGCTGCACCCAACCTCGCTATCTCAACAGCCTCTAGAATTTCCCGAGTAAGCTGGTCCCTAAGAACGCGGAACGTATAGTTGGATATCGTGCAATGACTAGGCGTGCGAGTACTATTTTCAGAATAAGATTAACAAGGAATGTAGCAGCTGTCTCAATTTTGTTACCACAAAGTTGACTAATTTACCGCAACAACACCTTTTAACTTTGAAAAAAAAAAAATAGCTCCATTAGAAAATAGTAAAACGTAGCAAAATGATCCCTGGAGCGAGAGTGCTGTCGTGGATTGTCGAGGGATTCTTCCTTTCTGCATTAAGCAACGATTGTTTTTTGTTTTGTTTTTATCTGAAGAGCACCATCTGTAAGTACCTCACAAAATGCACGACTACTAATTGAAGTGCGCCCAGAACGAAAATGTCAAAGTTCGCAAGTTCACTACTACCATTTCTAACATTCGAGTTAAATCTCCTATAAATAGACAATATCATATTTAAAACTTAAATGGAATAGCTTGATGCTCGGCTCAGTGAGAGTCATACATATTGAGAACTTTCTGTTGTCCACGGAGTGCGCCAGTCGGCGCACCTAGGAAGTTCAAATATTCAGATAAACTTTGCTAATTTGGTGTTAGGCTCTTAGCCGAAAGTCATTACATAATAAGATGTTTGTAAAAGGTTACCGATTGAGAAGAACATTCCAGGCATAAAAGCTGCGTCAGTTGGCTTGGGGTAGTTCGCCACGCGTGGAATACCTGAAAATGTTAAAGGACAGTCACTCTTGACATCAAACAAGAACACCGAACACACTCATATTCACGTGCCACCATATCACTACACATAATGACGAAATCCTCAAGGGAGGGACGTCACACCCAATACCGAAGCCTTTCAACATCTTCCAATGTCCCCAGTGCAGCTTCAAGAGATCTTCGTATTCCTTTTTTGTCGGCATCACGAAAAGTTGCTGCTGGAGAAGGTATCATATTCCAAGCCAGTCTCCGGGGCCGTTGTACCTCAACTTCGTCGAGTCTTATAGCAACGACTAATCGTAGATTGATCCCGCCAACGACGCAAATAGGGTATCATCCCCCCTAAATAACGCTTTAAAAACACGAAAACGCTTCAAGACAGGTACGAGAGCAAGAACGAGACAACACAGCGTGGCGTCGATCGATTTGGGCGACACGGAGACACAATTCTTGAGAACATTGGCGTGGCATGGATTAGTTGAATGGCGTGATGATGCTTATTCCTTTGCTTTTATGAAGATCAAACAGTTGAAGTTAGCGCATTGTGTTGTCTCGTTCTTACTCTCGTCCTTGTCTTGAAGCGCTATCATGTTCTCAAAGTTTCAGTACCAACTCCCCCCAAAATACGTATCGAATAACGCTTGTTGAATTAAACGAATCTCCGGTAAAAGTAAAGTGTTTAACAAATCCTTCCTTCCTCCTACCATCGCTGAATGGAACTACTTCATCAGGGAAGCTAACAATAAACTCGACGTTAACTTCACTGATGCAGCGGTGTATTATAATGATCGACTAGCCCATTTTAATTGAGTACATGTATAAATTCGGTTATTTTTCTTTTTGTTTATCTCGTTACAATTTTGTGTCACTGTTTTTATTATTTTCATACCCCCCTATGCTATGCGCTACGTAGTAGGACTTAAAGGGTGAAAAAATCGAATGAAATGAATGAATGATTTGCATTATGTCACTAAAGGAACCCACACACTACAGTCTCCGACAGCTCAAGAAGCGCCGGATGTGGCTTAGTATATTCACGGTTCTAGATTTGTTTGACGGCACTCTTGTAAGCGACTGCCGCAAGTTCATTAGCTGCGGTGCGATAGCGAGTGCTCGAGACTCGACACGACCCGCAGTAACTCTAGCGGACGGGATGGATTGAGACGCACTATCGACGTTCATGAACCATTAAACATCGCTTCTCTATAGCCGAACCTACCACCTTTCCTGTCTTTCCCTCCGACCTTGGCATCGATCAAACTTTAGTTCTAACATGCGTAACTTCTTGTGTACGGTTGTCAAAAAAGCAGAAACTTAATTGTTTTTTTTTTTGCTTCATTTAATAGCCATAAGTATCTAGAGACATTACCTATAGAGTATCGGCAGCGCTCTATGTCCCACTACTTCGTGGGCGCCGCCATTTTGTTACGTAGAGCACAGCGGGTGCAATAAGCCATGCTTACGACTCGCAAATGCACGACTTCCCGAGCTTCAGATACGGGGTCAGGAAGCACACGCGATATGTATTTTCTCCGTCGCGCGACAACTTTTGCAGCGGCAGCTGTTACAGACTCTTCCCACCGCTGGAAATGACATCCGCTGCAGTTGTAACTGTCGTCGAAGTAGGGCGTAGGGCGTCCGTCGTCGATAACCCCAAATGCTGGGAAAAAAGATCCCCCGCAGCCGGGGTGTTCTCAGGGCTCTCTCCTGGATCCGCTGATTCTGAACCGGGCGATTTACCAATTGGCTACGCCGCAGCTTTGGCACCCGGCTTTATAAACGGCATTCGTCGAGCACACATCTGCGTACGAGTCTCATGTAGCGTCCGTTAAGTGGCCACAGTTGTCGTAACGTCGAGATGGAAATATATATATATATATATATATATATATATATAAATCTGTAACGAATTCAACATTTAATCGGAGTTAATTGTTCAGATTAAAAGCTTCGGCTACGTGGTGGAAGTCACCGCCCGATTGAAAGGGTTGAGACGTATCCATGCATCGAGTTCCATCCCTTGTCGCCCCACGCCACCTGTGTCGTGACATCACGCTACCAGACAAGAGGGCTTCTGTGGGAGTGTGCGCGTGCTCGCGTAAGAGCGTGCGTGCGTGAAGTCACAGCGCGAGCCCACGGCAGTGCTACCGTGCTACCGCGAGCTCGCGCTGTTACTTTGGATCATGATCCTCAGCGCCCGCCACGCACCGTAGGACGGCTGCGATAGAAAGCGGTAAACAACCTCATTGGCGGTAAGGCTACGCTAAAACTGACCGATGGCTCCTCCGCGTAAGGAGCCGACCGCGGCAGAAAAAGCGCAATGCAAGGCTAGACTTGCCGCTGCAGCGAGGGAACATCGGGATTGTCAAACCAAAAAGCAGAAGCAACGCAAGCAGCAGGTCGTCATCGATGCACGAAAGAGAACAGTGAGGTGCGTGTTCATGAGAACGAAGCCAAGAGACTTCGCCGTCGAGTCTCCACGCTGCGTGAATGCGACACCGATGTCCAACGACACCTGACGTGTCTGTGGATTCACACAGGACAAATTATTTAAAGACTTTTGGAGGACGCGAAAGCGTTTCATGTGATTTCAAAAAAAAAAAAAAAAGAAGCTTAAGATAACTGGCAACCATGGTTCTAAGCACCAAGATGGCTGAAGTTTCGTTACGCTGAAGGTTAACTTACATAGCGGCTCTACTTAGTGGCAAGATGTCACAAACATAAGTTGTCGTATACTTTTCATCATCCAAGACACTCATGTGGCAAAACCTTATAGGATCCTGACTTTAGTTCCCGCCCCTGCTCGTTTTCATGTGAATAAGCATCGTACTGGTGTACGGTTGTGTATCACTACTTTGTGGCGCTCGTTAAAGACCCCAGGCTAGCAGTTGCGCTGCACTGGCTAGATTTCTCATCTACAGCGGAGGCATTGCTGCAGACGCACATTGGAGCTGATTAAGTTCCCGCCGTCTAAACGCTTCACGCAGCACATATATTATAGTTTTCATCATCTCCGACATTCTGGATGGAACCTTTCTGAGAGGACAATTCATAGAAAGAAATAAGGCTTACTTTCGTGGACGGCGAGGTAGGATCCGATCCCGTGTCCTGTGCCGTGGCCGTACATCAGTCCCGCCTCGAACAGCGGTCTTCGAGCCAAGATGTCCACCTGAGCGCCTGGGTGAACCGTATGTCACAAACATCACAGACGATCCGAAAATATTTTTTTTCAACGCGTTAGTGTCGAGCAGCTAGGCCTTAAAGGAACGATATCACATATCTTGTAGATTGACATGTAGTAAAGTTTTGAGTCCAATGGGTAGCTAATATTACTTTATCTGTGCTGACACCGAAACCAGGCATTCGTGAGGTTTTGCCAAGACGTCATCTGTTGTACCTTAAGGCCTCTTCACATATACACCGCAGGGTCCTATTAGTCAGCACTGGAAAATAGCTCTGACCGTGTGCCGATCCAGCGCTGACTTCGCTCTGTACTAGTGATGCAGCGCTGATATAGCGCTGCATCAGTGCTAAGTTACGTTCACGAGGGAGCTGCACCAGCGTTGTTCCTAGCGTTGATTACCGTTGCAATGTGCATGTGAATCGGCCTTTATATTTCGAGGAGGCAGAAATAGCAGTCGGGTGTAACGATTTATACGAGTACGAGATTAATACGAGGTAGTAGATCAAGAGGTATTTTATTTATTTTTCGAGGTTTTTCTTCATTATGTTTTAGAACATACGCATCGTATTTAACGGAATATTCAGCCGCCACGTAGTGTGCACTGAAAGAATAAAACTTTAAATTATCCATTTTACATTAATATCGACTATAAATGAAAGTTACAAGCACAATGTGAAATCCTTCAAAAGGATTGGTCATGCGTGCTTTGTTGTAAAACAGAGGCAGCTTCCAGGATTAATTGGGACAACTCATTCTCCTAGCTTCTCCCGCGCTTCAGTACTTCAGTTTTGGTGGAATGTTTGGTTTTACACTGCTGTGCGAGCCTAACATAATCGTCACATTTCCCGAAAAAAGGCAATTGGTTGCAAAAAAATTCAATATTATTGACGCCGGAGTCTATGGCAAATATCTAGTTCGTATAATTACCTGTTTGTTTATATTTTTTACCACAGCACACGTGTGTTAATCCTGGAAACACTCAAAATGTTTTCTTTGTTAGCGCCTGCCTAGTTTGCCATTATTACCCATCATGCTGTCATGAGACGAACCTTGTCTTTATTCGAGACCGCTGAAAAAAGAAAAAAACAAACAAAAAAACCCGCATGTCAAAGGATAGGGATAAAATTTTAACTTCTCGTCCAATTTAAAGTTGTCTGTAAGTATTGCAACGTTCGTTAAGAAACAGAGAACTCAAGTCAGATTTTTCCTTTGCTATTCATATCTGATGCCGAAGGCATCACATGGGAATAGGGTTAGACCAAACGAATAGGTTTAGACCAAACAGGTTTAGACCAAACATTAGTATTCTCCACCCCTGACTGACCAAATGACGTCTATTCCAGCGAAGAAACAAAATAGGGCTCAAACACTTAGTAACAAGTCGAAACTAAAAAGACGGTCGAATTTCACTTTAAAAAGCCGAAGGAGAGGCGCGGGACACGGCTATTTAAAAAGCTGGCCAATACGACAAGCATTATTTTCAGCGAAGTGATATGAAGTCGAGCCCTTTGACAAATGGTTATTTTACTGTTGTGCATTAAGACGTACTCCCCACACATAATTCTTTTTTCAATTCCCAGCACGTAATTATCAGAACTCGATATTCAATACCCATAAATAAAAATCCCTGACGTTTACATCGGCGAGTCCCATCGATAGCTGTCACCTTGATGTTTCACCGACGCGTCCGACTTAGCCCACTACATTGTGGGAGGCAACTCAAGCGATGCTTCACACGGCAGGCTCATTTGGGTTGGGCACGAGTTATTCTCTGTTAGGTTTTTTTTTTACCTATAGTATGATTTACCATACGTCCGAGTGAAGCCGACCAAATTCATGGGGCCAATCTAGTATTGTCGAAAACACGAAGTCCTGGCGTGAGTCCTCTTTCAGTGCGTGAGCTATCCCTGGAGTATCCACCAAAGGCCTAAAAGTGCCCGCCGTGAACTTGCGCGTTTAAACTTCGTGCCACAAAGACTTCGACTGTGCAATAAGATGCGAAGAAGCAAAGTAAATGAAACGTTTGTTGACATATTTTATAACTTATTATATTTATAAATGTAATAACGTGGACACAGCGATATAAGACGGTATTTCAACGAATATCAGATTACGCTCTACGACAGAGAGCAACATTAATGCTTTCAACTGTCACTTCTACGTGTTCATTACGACATAAAATATCGTGGCCTTGAATATACGATGTGATACTGCGACAATATAATTAGCAATGGTGACACAGTATACGTGTCACCATTGTATACCGCCTCCGGAGTGTCTATATTATCATGTCGAAGGAAAGTAAAGCGTTTGACATTTTTGCATGACATAATTCATAATAACGCTGGTTTAAATTTTAATGATTATTTGCAGTATAACGCGAGTCGCGCTACAAGGCAGAAGCAGGAGAATTTGCTCCTTGAGTTCCGCTGCAGAAAATATGTTTTTAAAAACTCATTTTTTCCTCGTTCTGTTAGTGAGTGGAATGAGTTGCCACCAAGTGTGACGGCGATTGCTTCTACCGCTTTATTTGCGAGCGCAGTTGATGAATTGTTTTTTTGTCATCACCAATGACTAAGCTACTTCTTATTGTTGTTTGTTCGTTCGACTCATTGATTGTTTCTGATGTTTGTCTATCATGCCTTGGCCCTCAAAAGTTGGCCGGCAGTATTCTCAAATAAATAACTAAATAACAAGTTGAGAGCCTTCAATGTATGAAACAGAAGTATGCATATTCCAGATATGACCTTACAATATTAAATATAGTTATCTTAAATAATTAACTGGTCCTTGTTTTAGAAAGCACGATAGTGCGAATACCATTACGTATATTAGAATGTTTTAGTAGTCTTAATAGTGTTCAGACAAAAGGTGCGGAGTGAACTGCTGGATCTACTGCTACCAAAGGAAGTTTGTGATGCAAGAGAAGAGGAACATCGAGCCCGCTAGGGCCCGAACGTTATTTAACAAATATATACTGAAGCCAAAACCAAACCACTCACCCGTCACGCCTTGAGGAAACGTTAAAGTGAAGAGATCAATGACACCCATCAGGACCCTCGTGTACGCTTCCTGGGGAATACAGATCCGTTAACATAAGGAAATATTTCGAAGGGTTTCAGACGACTGAAAATGACGCGGACTTATCACACTACAAATCGCAAACATGAAAATCAAGTAAATATAAAAAAACAACGTAAATAAACGCACAGTAAATCGAAGTTATGTTACTCACTGATTCCGTAAGCACCATAGTTAACACGTCGTAGGGTTTAGTTTTTTTTAAATTTTTATTGACGAACAGGGAGGCACGATAGTGACCCAAACAATGAAAAAAAGAGGGCAATATTATACATTTTACGTTTTATATGCTCAGCCAAACAAAAACAATATACGCCGCTAATTTACAGCCGTCGCTCAATAGAGTTAGTTATTAGTTTACAGTGAGTGTATCGCTAGATAAATATCGGGAGACGCCGTCATATTGAAAACTGTGTTCACCATTTGGTGCAAGATGTCGCATTAGGGCAGTATTTGGGCGAACAAAACTTTAACGTGACAAACCTCTCAAGTGCATTGTTTGAAATTTTACATTTCCCACGTTGGCTACGCAGTGTCGGCTTAGTGCAAGCTTTACCCCTAGATACAATTACAAATTCGCTTCGTCAGAACAAAACAAAGGGGACTTGCAACAAACAAAAAAGTCACATAGTTACTATAGCTATGCAACTTATAGTACTATATTATGCCTCTTTTTATTTATCCAGCCTCTTTCGTGGAAGTGCTGACTTTCTATGTGAAGCAGTTGTGCGTGCGAAATTGATGCATACCCGCAATGCGTCCGCTGTAAAAGTCACCGTGTTAACTCAAATTGAAAGCAGGTCAGCCTAAAAGAACACTCTCGCCCTCCTCTTTTCGTAATGATACGCCGCGATGTTTTATGCATGGGCAGCCCAAACATCGCTTGAATATTTTTATAGGTAATTCAGTCCACAAACCTTCTGGAACGGAGTGGGATTGCCGAAATGCCACGTCCTGGTAAGATCGACTGTCCCATCTCTTGTAGTGTTTTGGGAGAAAAGGCACACAGATATTGTAGCAGGCAACACTGTTTTATCATAATATACTTCTGCACAACCTCAAATTTCTCTGGTTGTCCTCAAAGCACGCGAAGAGCAATTACTATCCACCAAAAGGGCATAATGAAAGGAAGCGCAAAAAGGACGGAACAAAGTCGCAGAAACACACACACACAGGACAGGCGCTAACTGGCAACTTATGTTTATTGAACGATTGCAACGCCACCAAAACTGTTGCGCAGACACGCACGCACACAAACAGCCATCTTATCATGAAAAAAAACAACGAAAAAAAACAAGAAATGTGACACCGCGTTAACACGCAACGAGAAGTTCTTTTTTGATAGGCTGCTGCTTTGTCAGGCAGGGATTAGTCATGCGAGAAAACGACACAGAGAGGCAATGACCAGGGTCGTGTACACTTACAAAAGGTATTCATCAATGATAAGCCTCAAGTCTGTTCATCATGTGTACGAAGGCGACACTAATACAGGAGTCCTGGCCGCATGAATATATTTTTTCCACTTTAAGCTACTCCCTTCCAGACTTCTCTTTGCAGCGCCCTGCCACTTGTACCCTGTCCAGTTAAGGGAAACAGCCGCGGGACTTGCAGTGTACTGGAAAGTGAGAATCGTAGTTGTCAAGCGAGTCCGCGTGTTCTCGTTGACTGTCATTCAGGCAACGCCTGGTTTGACCAATGCAAACACGACCGCAGGCCAAGGAATCTTATGAACAACCTGAGAGCCAGATGCACAAACGTCTTGGCGCCTTTTTTTTTTTTTTTTTTTGCATAGAGACCGACACGCGGAGCGGCTCTGTTTACCAACACGGACGGAATGCCGCCCATGCGCGGAAGCTATGTGGGCAAAAGCGGCCCGGCCGTGTTTTCGCCAATGTGTTGTGTGGCGTGCGCTCGTTGTTGACGTTGTAGGGACGCTTCTAGCTTTATTTGCGCGTCGTATTTACTGACAGCGTATGTCGTATGCTATGCTTCACTATTGGAGCTCGCTACCCGAGCCTGAACGGCAGCGGTGTCGAAACAAAGTGTGCGTGGACGGCGTTGCCTTCGAGGATCCGTACGTCGCAAACAAGGCCTGCTGGACTTCCGAAGTAAAGTTGCTGCCACCGAAGTCGACGCCTTACGTCGTCGTTTATTTAGTTTTTCCGGCAAACCAGTTCACGGCCGACACGGTGCAGGCATACAGTTCTCTCGAGGACTACGATTACTTCAAGTCGGTTTCCGCACTGCCGGCGGTATCAGCAGACAATGGGTCTGCGGAAGTGCATTTATTCATTGATTAAATAAACACAGCGTCTTCAAGTCAAGGTATGATATTTTTCCTACCCTCATGACCACAAGGCATAACAAGCAGTAACGCATTGTCCGTTCTGCAGTTTTGGCGGTAACACGTTACAAGTAACGGCGTTACCAGGAACGCGTTACTTTTTTCAGTAATGCAGTAACCTATTCGTTACTTTTTCGACACAGTAACCGGTAACGTAATTACGTTACTATTTCAAGTAACGTAGTTACGTAACTTGTTACTACTTCCAAGTGTTAAAGAAATTACACTTCAATTTGTTCCGTGCTTCTGGGCGTCAAGCCATGTGAATTTCTGAGTATTCTGCGTCTTTTCTCGTGAGTATTTAGGTGAAACCGAGAAAAGAGATAGAGTAATTGTATTCAATTTCTGCATGAACATAATGTTTCTTGATGCTTATGCAAACCTGTATCGTCAAAACAGTGAAACGTGTTAATTCATAATTTCAAAAGTAACGCAGAAGTAGCGTGCGTTATTTTTATCGGTAGCGGTAACGCGTTCCTTTTGTTTGCAAGTAACGAGAAACGCATTTCATTACTTTTTTGGGTAACGCCTATAACACTGCCGTTCTGTCGCCGATCCCCTTCTGCCTGGTATAGCACGGGCGTAGCGAGCCTCCGACGAGCACTTGGCCGGTGCTTTGTGAGCGAACACCGTGGGAAAAAAATCGGGGTGGTCTGGATCATACGGCGGGTTCCCTGCACATAAGCAAGCCTCGGGACGGAGATTGAAATGGAAACCACACTTGCCTTCAAGAAAGTGCTTCCCGCACAAACAGTCGTTTGCGCGAGGCCACCGTTGTTTTCGACCCACAGATATTATCCACCTTCTGTGCCTCTCAGAGTCTGCCGGGAACTTGTGAAAACTCACCCCGCTACTTTTTTTGTACCTTTTGGTGCAATTAACGGCAACACAGCTTCGCGGCATGCTGAAATGGTATGACGCCCATGCGAAACGTGCCCCCTTCTGCCCACACCACCCAGCTCCGGCACGATCGCAACGCCGCCGCAGCTCCGTGACGTCAAGCCGGCGAGTCCTTTTGATTGTTGACCATTGCACACATTTCGGACACCTTCTAGGGGTCCGTTAGGAAGACGTCCACCCTGACTTTGCAGCTATTCTTTTCAGATTTGGCAAAACTTTGTGCACGTACGCTTACACCTCGAACCTTTGCGGTTTCCCAGGAGCAGTGTGAGAGCTTTTCATTTCTTTAGCAGGAATTTCGCCACTCCAATAACAAGAGAGGAAAATTCTGAAAAAAATCTGACTGTTTCAAGCAAACTACCTGAAGGTCGAAACTGCCACAAACTACACCAAGACATGACTTGAGTGATGCAGATCAAAGGCACAAGTCGATGCCCCTCTTGATCAACTTAGAGGGGGCTGGGCCAAAAGGCAAACGAGCCTTATTGTCCGTGGCCTGTACATCGAGCACACATGTCGAGATGAGTTAAGAAAGAGCTAGAGAGGGAGAAAAACAAAGACCTAAAAACTGTAAAAAAAAAGAAGAAACATTAATCAGGAGCTTAAGGGCAAAATGCAAGTGATTTGAGCAACTGTTAAAAGACTCGAAGATAAACTGGATTGACGAATTCATGCACCCTTCTAATAAAATGCACACACACACAAAAAAAAAAACGACCAAATTATTAACATGTCTTTATATATTTGCAATAGGTGCGCCAATCAGAGGAATTTCCCTAACTGATGCACCGATTAAAAAATGCACGTATATTATATTTGGATGATGTTGTCCTTTTCGTCAGCATTCCATCCGGAGGACGCTTGGATGCGTCAGCCCAGTCAATTTTAGATGTTTGTATCAGTTCGTGAGATCACATACACTTTACCCTTGACCTTTCCTGGGATGGTTCGTTACAGTTTTTAGATCTCTGTCTCTCTTTTAGCTCATCGGAACATGTCCGCTGGATGTACCCAGGTGGCACAGTTCTTACGGCGAAAGTTTGGATTTTGTTTAAGAATTTAGGGCCTTAAAAAGCCTGAAGAAGCCAAGGTAGAGCCGAACTTGACTTCCTGAGGCTAAAGTCTGGGAATCTTGACCCTAGTTCACCAGAAAAGTGCCAAATTTAGGATTCCCTGCTGGTAGTCTGTCATCTGGTATCTTTGGGCCTAAAAGTACACACAAATGCCAGAGTTAGGGTTCACTTCTGGTTGTTTAGTTTTCATGTGGCAATATTGGGCCTAAATTGCCATGCAAGTGCCAGATTTTGGCTTCACTCCTGGTTCTTTGGTTCATACCTGGTATCTTTTGTTCAAATCTGGCACATTGGCAATGATGTGGCGAGCCAATGAAAACCCATACAGGGAGTTTTCGAGAAAAAAGAGTCATGTTTTGGGGCCCGGGTAAATAAAGTACGCTTCGCAGAAAGGTCAAACTCTGTGAGAATGTTACGCTAGCGGTTGGGATAGAGCACAAAGATTCCGGAGGATAACATTACCTGGATCAAAATATAAATAAAAAAGATAACTTTTTCTATAAGCCGACGTCCAACTTAGCCTAATATAGTCAAAACAAGAACTGACATTGCGGGCGCCCGCGGCATGTACTTCAGTGGAAAAAAATCTTGTAACCAAGAAGAAAAAAAAAACAATATCCTCTTTCTTGCTGATAAGTGCTTTTCATTATTTAATTCCACAAGCGTCCACAATGTCAGTTTTAGAGCGCAGCTCTCAGGCACCCGTTTCGCGGTGCATTATGGAAAACGTCTGATAATGCACCGCGGTGACGCGCGCGTTTCATTATGGGAAGTTTTCCATAACGCACCGCGCGGGAGGGAGGTGGAGGGGGAGGAGGAAGGAGGATAGGGAGAAGGAGGGAGGAGGACGATGTTGAAAGGTGGGGAGAAGGAGGAGGGGAAGAGGAGAGAGGAGGAAGAGAGGGAGAAGGCGGGGAGCACGAGAGGAGTATATGAGGAGAGGGTACGGATGAGGAGGAGGGGCATACCGTCCCCTTTGTAGCCTCGCCTCCTCCTCCTCAAAAGCTGCGCTCTAATTCGGCATTACAGGGGGGAGTTGTAAACGCCTTTCAATTTTTGTTTTTACAATATTAGGCTTAGGTGGACGTCTGCTCATAAAAACAAATTAGTTTATCTGAATTATCTATAGATCTAGGCAGCGTCATGTTCTCAAGCTTTCGCTTTCTATTTCAACCGCAAGCGTCACATTCTCATGGAGTTTGAGCTTTCTACGATTCATAGTTTATTTTACCCGGACCGAAAAACATGGTTATTTTTTTATCGGGAACTCTGTCCTATGGAACTATGTAATGCATTGTAGAAAAACCGTATTAGGCCGACGTCAGGCAACTAGGATTTCCAAGATTGTGCCAAGTTAGGCGTTTCACTGACGTGCTACGCGGGTGCATACCACAAACAAAGGCCCTTTTGCATTTTGATACAGCCCAGTACAAGTTGATTAATAGGAGCATCGCCCCGTTGTGCCATGGAGCGGCATTACTCAAGAAATGTTTGTATGTAGTTTGTAATAGTTTCGGCCTTCATGTAGATTGCTTGCCACAGGCAAGATCCCTCCCCGCCCCCCTCCCCCCCCCCCCCCCCCCCCGCACTTTCCAGTGCACCGCAAGGCCTGTGGCTGTTCCCCCCTAACTGGACAGGGTGCAAGTTGTAGGGCGTTGCGAAAATTGGTTGTAAAAGGAGTTGCTCGAGACGACAAAAATAAATTCATGCGGCAAGGACTAGTGTCGCCTCCTTAGATATGATGAACAAAGAGCTTAGGTTTATCATCGATGAACAGCTTTTGTATCTGTACACGATTCTGGCCATTGCCTGTTTGTGTCGCGTGCTCGCATGGCTCACTTGTATCTCGCCTTAAGAACCATCAGTTAATTAAAACAGATGACTTCCCGCTAAGTGTTAACATGGAGTCACGTTTGTTTGTTTTTTCACGATAAGATGGGAGTGTGTGTGTGGGTGTGTAGCAGTTCTTGTGACGCTGGAATCCTTCAATAAACTTCAGTTGCCAGTTAGCGGTTATCCGGCGTGTGTGTGTGTGTGTGTGTGTGTGTGTCTAGGTGTGCGTGTGCGTTCTTTTGTATGAGTTTGTGCTGTGTGTGTGTGTTTCTCAGACTTTGCACCGTCCTTTTTGCACTTTCTTTCATTATGTCGATCAACCAACAAGCGCGCAAGCCACCCGTTCGCTATTTTACCCAAAGAGCCTTGTTTATTACTACGAATATATAGTATGAACTAAGTAACACATTGGAGATTTAAAGGGACCGCAGAAATCAGCTTGTATAAATAAATTCCAATATAATACATCACAGGTGGGCATAACATGGCGAATTTCTTCTTGTAAATATATGTAAGGACGCTTGAGTTCACGTCCAAAAAATGACACGATTTTCTTTTCTATTTAATAGGCCTAGGTCTTGTGACACCATTAAATGACATGGTGGCTAGTTGTAGCGTTTATTTTGACAAAATGGAGGAAATAAAATTAAAGCCAATTTGATATGATGTCTTTTACTCTCGGTTTGCAAAGGACATACCAGTCCAAAATGGAATTTGATTATTTTGAAACATTATTTATTTTCATCATGAGCGATGGACGTACTGAGGAAAAAAACAGATATTATGCAGCTCGACGAGCCCTCCGTACCCTTACAAGGCAGACAACAAATCGACACTATGATAAAATAACCCGAACAATAATAAAAACGTGTCAATTATACCGATGACGTACGCTTTTATGCAATGTTAATAAGTATGGCGCATATGTTTAGTAAGGTGACAACAATTTCTAGGGACGTAACATGACTTTGTAGTATAGGCAGTGTATATTTATCTCTGACTTCCAAAGGTTGTGCGCGATTGACTAATATGCCGTGGATATATCTGACGAGTTTGATACACTGAGCTGTGCAAACGAAGATCAGCGAGGTTTAAAAATGTTTTGAATTTACCTTTTATTGGAGGCTAATATGTTGAATATTAATCGTGGGGAATAGATTTTTGATACATCGGTTATAGAACATATGAAATGGAGATAATGATGGGAAAATCAAAGGAACATTAGCTACTGCCCGAAAAGCATTTTTTGCGACACTCTGACTATATTTAGAATAGTTGAACCAGTTGATCCCCATACTAGATGCGCATAAGATAAAAAAGAGTTTTATGAATTTTGAGAGTTGTAATTTTCAGTAAAACGTTTCTATATATATATAGAAACGCCTGCTATTTTTGTAGGTTAAGTACGAACGTGTGAAATATGCTCCTTTCAAGACATCATTTGCAAGAAAAAGACACCAAGAGATTTTACATGATTAACAAAGTAAATAATATAAGGACCCTTAGGGGAACGAACAAGTATAGTCAACTTGTTGAATTCAATTGAAACATTACAGCCTTGCTTTTGCTAGAATCTATATGAAGGAAGTCTTTTTCCTCTCTCTCGAAAAAAAATGAGGCGTTTATAAAAATCCTTTTATAAAAAAAAATTACACCATCTTCCCAAGGGGAACCATGGGGTGATGCGGAGCATCGTTCCATCACACTTCATCGGAAGAACGGAGTGAAGTGGAGTCAACAGCGGTGAACTGAACGCGCGCAGAAATTGGTTTGCTCTTTATGTTTAGACAGCCTTGATGGAGATGCGCCTCAACGGGTAATAGGTCTCTTAGCTGTAGATGAGAAATTTAGCCAGGGCAGTACAACCGCTAACCTGGGATTCTTAACGTGCATCAGGCAGTAGTCATCACACGAACGCGTGCCGGTACGAAACTCATCCAGATCGAAACGGGCGGGGGTGGCGGGGACTCGAACCCAGGAGGTTCCCAGCGCAAGCTTTCGCTCCACGCTCCGAGCTGAGACGCGTTAGCCCCCACTCGGCCACTTCCTCCTCTTGAACGCGCGCAGCGCGCAACCCCTGCTTATATTCACACTTGAAGGAGAGGAAACTAGAGGAGGAGAGTTGCGCCTGCGCGCGCGGTGTGAGTAGAAGCGAACGCACGCGAAGTGCACGCAGCTCGTAGCTGCGTGCACTTCGCGCAACTGCTGTAGAGAGAGAGAACGCACGCGCAGCTGTTGGAGAGAGGGAAGCAGCTGGTAGCTGCGTGCACTTCGCGCAGCTGTTGGAGAGAGAGAGAACGCACGCGCAGCGAGGAGAGTTGCGCATGCGTAGTGTGAGTGCGGACTACGACGCCGCGGGGCATAGCCCGAGCAAGAGATGCTCCGCATCTAAAACATTTTTTTTTTTACTTACGAGTGTTCTGCGGGAAGTGAGATGTGCTTACAACAAACGTTATATTAATACAGGACATATAAAAACTTCACCATGCATTTGAAACACGGGAAAATATATCTTGCCGCTTTACGAGTGTTTGTCCAGCTAAGCAATAACCATTAGAACCTTTGAAACAAGATCTTTCACTAGAAATCGCAAGAGTATTGACTGGTGCGAAGAATATCTGCTTACAAGTACTGCCCGCCAGTATCGACGAGGAGCATCTGGTCCTTGTCTACTTTCCTGTTGGTTTGAGCAGTCGGAGAGTAGTGCACGATGGCACTGTTGGGTCCGGATGCCGCAATGGTCTCAAACGAGTCCCCTCGGTATAGCTTCTGTTCCCTGGAAACAGAAACTACTGGTACAGGGTCTAAAGTAGGGAGTCATTTACACTGGAAGGGGGGGGGGCATTATTTGTTTTGCATTACCGTGCGACATTTGAACTTGTAGATTGACGTTGAATCTAATATAGAAACATGTCGACTAATCCCTGGCCTCTACTGGCAAGATGAGTAGGTTATCCATAATAACTTGTATTTGTATCTTGTTTGTGTACAGCGTTTGTACGAAAAAACGGTGGTCCGAACTATGATGTCACATCATTACCATGTTGCATCTTAACGCGAGACTGGGCTGTGAAATAGAAACTTAAACGTAGGAGGGAGAAGGAACAGGGAAGAAGAGAACATCTCTTCTTCCCTGTTTTCTGTCCCTTCTACGTTTAAGTTTCTATTTCATACCCAGTCTCGGGTTTAGTTGCAACATGGTAAACATCCACCAGCTCGCCTGTACTTCAACCGTTTAGTCAATTGTTAACTTTTTGTTTTCCACGACTCCAGCTTCTGAATTTTGTATACCTACGAAACAATTAGCTAGACTCTAGAGCGTTCGTATATGGCGTAATATTCCTCCAGAAGACAAGTCATTTATAGCTTTTATAGCTTTCGTAGAAATATTAAAAAAAATATATAACTCAAACCACCATTGCATGAACTAAGGTAGAACCCTCCAGCAATCAGTATTGTTGACAATTGGTATACCACTGGACGACGGCGGAGACGGTGACAAAGATTGTCGGCCTTGGTGCTGCTGTCCCCACATGGTTCTGGTCAGTGCGTTCGTGCATCGTGCAGTTTTAACGAAACAAACGAGTGCGATAATATGGAAATTGATTTCCTCCCCTCTGCGACTTTTAAAAAATCAACATGTTCAGTTTCTTTGTGCATGCCATATCTCTCACCTGTGATATGTTCCTACCCTGACCGTTTCGTATTTGTAGTCAAACAAATTACTTTTAGCAGACTGATCAGCGTCAGCCAGCAGGCGCACGGGAAATCCTGGAGAATCTATCTCCGTCTCTTCCGCCATCTTGCGACTACCGCCCCGCCATCTATAGGGAGTTCGAGTTGGAAATAGTTCGCGGTATAAACACTTTTAATCCTAGCCTTCTGGGCACTGCTCTCTTTGTTTACTGAACTGTATCCCACGCTCTGAGCATGCTTGTATCTCTCTTGTGCCAAATATCAGAGGCCGCGCATGCGTTCACAACCCAGTGAGTGACTCAGCATTTTTCGCCCGCGTGATAAGCAATGAGAAGCTGTGTAACCCGTGAGCGATATGAAGGTGAACAGCCCTCTTCATGTTTTTGACGCTCCTGCAAGTTTTGAAACAAGCTCTGTTCCAGAAGAGGGCTAGAACGCAAAGTTTAGACCCCAAGCCACGTACCATTTGAGACAATAGGAGTTAATACAGCTTTAGGGAGCCGTAAAACAGGCAAGAAACCAGGTGAGGTGTTCACCTTCATATTGCCGGCGGGTGTACACTCTAAGAATGTATGTGCGCCTACTTTTCTTCGAAACACCTGGAGACCCAGTAACTGCGATTTACAGAGAGAGAGGGGGGGGGGGACTTTGGTGAATGAAAACCTTAAAATTATAATTCGACTTGATAAAAGACTTCTGAGATATCACACTGAGCGTGACGTGAGCATGTGAAACGTCCTTTTCATTTTAGATCTAGTTATATAGTATCAGCATCTTCGTTCGCCGAACTCGCATCGTATATTTTAGTGATTTGTTTATCAAGCGTTTTGCGGTGAACAAGATGCAGGGGCATTCTTAAAGCTAGTATATGCATATTGTCATCCTTTTTAATTATAATGCAATTAAATGCAAAGGTGCAAGAGAGCTGGACAAGAATGACGAAAATAATTCCTTTTCCTTCTCCAGAGATTATTTTGTCATCCTGTTTGTTCTGCTAATAACAAGAAACATTGTTTATAAGATAGAGTTCATTAGTCATTTATATACTCAAAAAAAAATGTAACTCACTTGCGGAAGTGAATGAGTTGCTTGCCCACCTTGAGTTCATCCCAGGTTTTCCCTTTTTTTAGATCTTTCTCCAGAAGAGCATACATAGACACTTGGGCTACAGCATCTTTGAGCTGGGCCGGATGATCATGGAAAAAATAGCAGCATAAATATATAGATATAGGTGTATTTGTTTTGTCAAGTGAATCCAAAAATGTGCGAATTTCGACCGATACAGAACAAAGTAGAGAGTTCTGGGGATATAAATAATTCAACACATATATGAGCGTATGCACAAATCAGGTTTGCGGATATTGATATTTTAATAGGAGTTTGAGTACCAAAGAAATAGAACTTGGATTGTCTAAGTAAGCACGAGTACGAGACCGTAAAGGAAAGAAAATGTTCATGTAACAATTACAAACACATAGAGTAAGGAGCAAAACGTAATGTGATAAATGCGCGATGAACAGAAGGTAGCATACGGTGCATCCGTGGGATCTCATTATTACAAATATTATCGGCAAAACAACAATGCCTATAAAAAAGAAACAAGTGTACGGGACTGCTGAGATATGCTCGGATAATATCAGTATTCGCCAGGAAAGTAAAAGGGCTTCCAAACCCCATCTCTTATACAGCATGTAAACTAACGTTTTAAGGTACTTTAGACGGCCCGCAAAAATAGCTTTCTCAACGTATTGCGCTGCAATTTACTACACAGGGGCAAGCAGGTGGCGGAATTTTACAGTAAAAAAAATCGAGAAATAAACTTACCTGGTGCAAAAAAGAAAGAAAAAACAACAACAACAAGAAACTTGTTTCGAGCAATCTACGGCACCTCTTCGCAAAGGAGGCACGCGTAGGAAGATGTGCTGCCGACAGATGGCGCACGCCACGTCGAAGGAGATGATGCTAGAGTATGCACTGGGTTTTAATTCGACGGCTGACTCAGACAACCTCTATACGGGCGAAGTAGACGCCCCTCCACAAGACAGACATGACATCTGTTCCTTACAGTGCGTGCGAAGGGCGAAAGTGTGACTGGGACACTAATGGAAGAAAATTTAGAAGAACAGAAGCTTATAGGCTTTTTGGCTAGGGCACAAAAACTCTTCAAGCTCGCCCGTTATAAAGGGAAAAGCCGGATCATCATCATCATCATCGATCATCTGATAGAAGTGCTCTCGCTTCCGGGAGCAGTACACTTTAAAGATCCCCGCCCCCAGCAGTGTGCCGGCTGTACAACGGACGATATTAACAGTGTGACAATCGGCAGAGTGTCAGCGATACGTGCGCTGGCTCACATCAAGAGCAGTACCGCTCAGGTGATTAGACGCGATTCCGGCAACCGTTTTCAAAGCCATGGGGAAAATTCTAGAGATCAACTCGCAGAAATATTCGATGACATTGGCTCTGGAACGAAAGCCATTCCTCGCAACTGGAGGTGCGGAAAAGTCTCTCTGGTTCCGAAAAGAGGCTGCGATGCGAGTGCCTCAGGAACTATAGACCACTAACCGTGACTAGCACAATATATAGGGCTTTCGAACACACCACGAAAGAGAACATGAACGCATGGGCGGAGGAAGAGGGGCTACTTACGGAACTTCAAGAAGGCTTTCGACAGGGACGTTCATTGGAAGATTAACTCTTTACTCTCACACGCTTTACTTTCGCACACATCTTAAAAGAGCGCACGACCTCATGGGCAGAGGAAGAGGGGCCACTTACGGAGCTTCAAGGAGGCTTTTGACGGGGATGTTGATAGAAAGATCAACTCTTTACCCTCACACAATGTATCGAAGTGGCCGGAAAATAAAACAGGAGCACCATATGTTGTTTTCTAGACATCGCAAAGTCATACGACTTTCCTCATGCCCGGCTCATTTGCCAACTGGAACAGCTAGACATGCGCCCACATTATACCGCACTTATCTACCGCCTATACCATGGCAACAAGGTTAGGGCACAGCCAGGTGGGGCTAACTCTGAAGATGTGCTGCTGACGAGGGGACTACACCAGTTACGCCCCCTATCTCCTCTGTTTTATACGTTGTACGTGGCCGTTCTAGAGAAGCAACTCATCCGATCAGGACTTGGCTTCTCGCTGGTTCAAACAAAGCACGAAGACAGCGTCGAAACGGTGCTTTGGGAATGAATTACGGCGATGATGTGCTTCTGACGGCGGCTTCAGTGTGCGATATGCAACAGCTGCTTGACATGTGCACCAAGGAGGCTACAGAGCTTGGTTTGAAATTTAACACCAGCAAGTCAGCAGCTGTGGTATTTGCGGGACCACACGAGATAACACTTGGCACTCTTCGACTCGAAGGAAACAGTTTCCCAGTACTTCATTTGCACAAGTACTTGGGCATCACGCTGTCAAACATCGAAAACTATTTGCAAATGCATCACACACACCTTCGCCAAGCATCTATCCGAGGAGCCAACATCCTCCGAAAACGCAACTTGTGGGGTTGTAACAAATTCATTGCGTCTAGAGAACTGTGGAAGGCGGCAGCAGATATACGCGCCCATATGGAGCGTCGGCAAAGAGAGGTCCGGCGTCAGGCTCTCGGCTACCATGGGGCAGTTGACAATGAGGCCGTTTAGGGTGACCTTCGAAGCTCGAGAGGTGACCAGCAAAAGAGCCTACGACGGACGCCTTCGCCATATGGACAGCTGCCGTTGGGCCAAGAGACTTTTCACGTAGACCCACTTAACTGGATTGCGAACCCTTTGACAGAAGCACCTCTATCAGTTTGAACGCAAGTACAGATTTGTTTTCTAACCCCGTACAAGCGTCGATGGCAAAAATGTGCGAGTCAGAGTTCCTGAAAAAGGTTTGTGACCAAAAGACCAAGCAGTGGTTTCAAGACGCCCAAACCATGTCGACGCAGTATGAGTACGTGATACACAAGCAGACCATCACTTTCGAGACCAGGGTGCACTGCCACAGACTCTAGGCAGTCGCCTGTTGTTTGAAGCAAGAGTGGGGCCCTCCGGACGCTGCCTTACACGCGGCGGTTCTACGACACTGTGACCACAAGTGTGAGCAGGGCGTACGGTGCCCATGACGAAACGGAGGCACACATCGTTCTTGATTGTGCCAGTCTCCAGCCTACTCGGTCACAGGACAACGGATCACAACCTCGGATACCCTGGACGCTCGCTGAAGCGTTGGACTTCCTTATACCGACAATGAAACCGCAGCAACCCGTCGAAACAGGGCGGGGAGAACATGAAGACAGGCCTACTACAAAATTGAACGTGATCTCCAGCAGTCTGCACAAGCCTACTGTAAAGTCCATCAAAAAAAAAAAAAAAAAAAGCTTTTGGACTGGTGGAAAAGCTGTACATAAGGGGCCATTAAGGCCCACAGGGTTCCAGGCTTGGGCACGAACTCAGATTGAGCCCATCCGTTCCTAAAAGAAAGAACCGCAACGTCATCATCATCGAGCGCCGGCCGGTTCGGCTTCATTTGTGGGATCGTCTGCTATCATAACCTGAATCGGCCGGCGCTCCCTCGACGCGGCGTATGCCATCTGTCGGCAGTGCTTCTCCCTAGGCGTGCGTCGTCTGCGAAATGGCGGCGTAGACTGCCCAGAACAGGCGTCTGTTTGTTTGTTTTTTCGAACGAGGTAAGTTCATTCCTTGATTCTTTCACTGTAAACTTCTACCACCTGCTTGCACGTCTGCAGTAAATTGCAGCGCAGTACATTGAGAAAATCATTTCTACGGGCGCCTAATATGCCGAAGAACCGCTGGTTTATATCTTGTATATAAATAAAAAAGAGTTATTGTTCCAATCCTACAGGTTCTAGAACTAATTCTTCTGATTTGACGTAAAAATATTTTGCATAGGAAATAGAGGCACCGGATTTAGAGAGAGTATGACCGCTGCTCACCTATTGCCCAGAATCACTGGGGCTGGACATATCAACTCAGAATCATGAACCCCACAACGAAGCTTAATCACAGAAGGCTAGTTGCGCTAAACGTGGCGAGGACGTTGCTTTCCCTTGTTTGATGGTTGAATTTTCTCACGCGGCTTGAAACCGGAGGTTGTCTAGAATGCAATTACTTTCAAAAATCTGCACAAACACAAAAACGTCACTGAGACTTGTGTTACACTACTTTAACGTCCCACTGCAGAAGTGGTAATTAAACGTGGCAGGCATAAAAAGCAGCCGATCTTTAACATCACCCTGGAAGAAGAGCATTAATGCTGGAAGAGAGTTCAAGCGATGTCCAACATCCCTTTCTAAGCGTGCGGCACATTTATCTTAGCCTAAAAGCCTTAAAAAAAGGCAATGGTGCAACAGTCGTAACTGTGCTGCGTTCCCTTTGCGAAGTTTTATCAGTTCACCAGCACCAATCAGATTACTACCACACATCATATAGGTTTAGGCTCCGAACGTGTTATTGCATTTCTCTTCTGTGAACTTACGTGGGCATTTTTCATGCCGTCGACTTCTACGCTGTTCTTGATGGCTTGGAAGTACTTTACGGGAGAGTCTTTCTGCACCTGCTTTTCCTATAAAGCAAGCGAGAAATAATTTACTTGCGTTAACACGTCTTATTTTTATAAACCTTTACAGGAGCGCAAACGAGACAAAAAGCATTGCGTCAACGAACAGATCATCACAATATACCATTTTCTGTGGTTACGCTAGTTACCACTCAACTTGGCTAGTTCAGTAACTCTTTTGGGAGTAAACAATGCCTACCAGGGAGTCTTTGAAACCAAGCATGGTAAGATAATCACCTCAAGCTCAATTTCAAGAGAACATATTTTAGCTCTTAGAAAAAATAGTGAACTAACTTTGTTATTGTATATAATGTATTACTGTAAAATTATTATTTTGTACAATGCTAAATAGCATTTCATGTCCATTAAAATTTAGATTCAGCGACGTTTTGCTTTTTGGTTTGATTTTGCTGCTGTGCTGCTAAACGGTACAGCGGGATAGGGCCTATTTAGGCGGCATGAGTCGTCTCTTTTCCCATCCTCCTAGACGTCTGTCTAAATAAAAAAAAAATATTAATTTTGAATAAAAACATTATACGCTTCAAAAAACAATTGCATTACCTACGTAATTTTTTTTTTTTTTTTTTTTTTTTTGCTTTGTTAGCTACGCGTATTATATACGACGCTCACCTTGGGTATGTCCCCACAAAGGGCGTAGCTGCAGGCAAAGGTTGTCAAGATCCGAGAAAACTTGGTAGCACTTTTTGGAATGTCCTGATACGTCTCATTGTAATCCATTATCTAGGGACAATACAAACGATTTGTTTGTTAGCCAGTTACAAAAACTAGCCGATTGTCGACCACCGAATCATCCACCTTCGGCATAAATATTAAGAGTTATAATTGTCACTTCCCTACACCAAAGTAAGCTCCTCGTTAAGACTTTCAAGGTGGTGCAGTCGTCTTGAAAATATAAGTACTAAATGTTCTCAATCGGGCCCAACTTTATTTTTTAATCTTAGCCACATATTACGCGCATTTTATTAATCCAGTGTATTATACATATTTTCAACTTCAACAGTGAATTTTATCACTTTCTGTCACGAACCGGAATATTAGACCCACAGCTCCACAAAAAAAAAGAAAACAGAGCCAGCATCATGGTTTGCAACATATCGTGCGGTGTCAGATTGTTTATGTAATCTGCTGCACATAGAAAGTTCAAATTAAAATACATCTGAAAAAAGCCATGTCCGTATACTTAAAAAAAATAAAACTAATTTTGTAGTGGCTTCAAAACAATAGCGCCTACTAACGCTTGACATAATTATTAACAGTCCCTGGAAGTCGTCGAAAGCAGATCATCTGAAGCATGTTCACCGTTCGCTAATTTGGAATTTGACTGCAGTAATATATTCGCGCTCAATCCTAGTTTGTTGGTCAATCTAGAACATATTTTCCAAAAGTGTAACCACAGCGGGACGTTTGTGACAATCCGACGTCACGTGACACTGTAACATCACGCAACACCATGACGCGCTACATCATTTCACGAGACACCACGTGGCACCATGACGTCACGTGACGTTGTGACGTCATGAGTTGCGACCAACACCACAGGGTCTATGGAGGTTCCCCAAGCAGCACAAGCCATTGTGCCACTATTGGGAATATCTTGGAAATAGAGGTCTATCATGGTGACCTCTCTGTAACCGATATTGAAAATGTATTGGAAAGATAGGGCCATGATTGGCCTCCTTTATCCTCTCTATGACCATGCAACATAGCTTAATTTTCATGAGTAACGATGTACTATATCCAACTTACGAGCCGGTATAAGCCTCAGAGGCTTGTGCACCTAGCTTGGCAGGTGGCAAAATCACGGTATAATTCAAAATTGGGTATATCTATTTACACTCGATAACATGCTTCAGAAGAACTAGAAAACTTTGACAAGAGAAAAAAAAGGAAATAAACATTTGGTACATTATAACACAATGAAATAGAAAATGCAAACTCACTGTTCTTATTTTGTTTTTTTTTTTAATTTTCTTTTTAGATGTTATAGAAAGAAATGACGCTGGTAGTTTTTTGAAAGCATCTGGTACACAGAATGTTCGCGTACACTCACCAGACCACGTTCTGGTGCGCTGCACATTGAAACGAAGTGAAAGTCTTATTGGTCGCTGCTGCAGATATGGTGTTTTACACTCAGGACACCAGAAGTGCAGTAAGACGACTGTTTTTTTTTTTAATCCCCTCACAAGACGGGAGTTTAAGTTCGTGAAACATCCGGGCCTATCAAACGCAACACTTTTCAAATTTTCTTTCAAAAATGATTCTGCTCTGGCGCGCCAATAAAGGAAGCAGGCTGAAGAAATGGTTATACCGTGCCGTAAGTAACTATATGCGAAAGATTGTGTTATCATATTTGTAACAGAAAGCGGCAAGAGCATTTTCACAACGCAAAGACACCACGACACGCTTCTTAGTCGTTTACATTAATACATCACATGAGTACACCATGACAAGTCACTGTCGAAGTAAATTCCCCAGGTGTTTTACCGCTTTTCACATACTCAAGAGGTTAATAACCACAAGAACTATAGCTGGAAGTATTCAGCGCTACGGTATCTGATAGATCCGCCTACTTCAGCGGGTGCCTAAAACAAACAAGTTTTGTCTTGACCAATATTGGGAATCAAATGGAATTCCATTGGATAAATTAGAAATAACTTCAAATCTGGTGCTAGTGAGCTTCCAATGGCGCCCAATATTTGATGGCCATCGGCACCCCAACGGATAAACGGATATCACTTCCAATAAAGTTCCATGGGATTCCAGTGTAGTTTTATATTGGGTATCCATTGGCACCCCATTAGATAAATTACATACAACTTACAACGAATTAAGTGCTTGTGGGTTTCCAATGTTTCCCAATATCGTGCAGTCATTGGCACACCATTGGATAAATGAGATACCATTTACATAAAGTGCCAATGGGCATCAAAGTTTTCAAATATTGGGCAGACATTGGCACAGCATTGGATAAATTCGATATCACTTCTAATGAAGTGCCAATAGGCTTCCAGTGTTTTCCAATATTGTGCTCTCATTGGCACCAAATTGGATAAATTGGACACCATTTAAAATAAAGTGTCAATGGGCATCCAATGTTGTCAAATAATGGGCGGTCATTGACACCCCATAGGATAAATTGGATACCACCTCCAACGAAGCGCCAAGCGGTTTCAAATGTTGTTTAATATTGGGAAGTAATTGGCACCCATTGGATAGATTGGATATCATTTTAAATAAAGCACCGATTGGCTCCCAGTGTTGTCCAATATCGGTTAGTCATTGGCGCCACATTGGATAAATTGGATACTACTTCAATTTAAATGTTAGTTGGCCTTCAATGTTCTCCAGGTTTGCGCAGTCACAGGCACCCCACTCGATAAATTGGAATCTACTTCCAATGGAGTGCTAACAAGCTTCCAACGTTGTCAAAAACTGGGTAGCCATTGTCACCTTACTGCATAACATGTATACTACTTCCAATGAAGTAACAATGGGCTTCCAATGTTGTCAAATATTAGGCAGTCATTAGAGGCCCTTAACGTGCCCGTCTTACAGGGGTTTAACAGGCATTGCAGACGACGAAAGACGGTGCTGAAATAGCAGACGATACCAGAGACTGCCGGGCCTTGCTGACGCGTGTCTGTTCGCACGACTAGCAGGCGGTGTCAGATGCCAGATTAGACGCACCGAATGTCACGAAAGGGAGACGTAGTGAGACACTTGGCTTCCGAGCGTGTTCTGCAGAACAGCCAAGCCAATCCAGCAGTGATAGGCGGGGCACTGATCTGTGGGCTTGACTTAGAGCAGGCCGTCACCTCCACCTCAATTGAATCGAACGGCGTAAATATCGCACAAAAAAAAAATATTTTCGTAAAATCAACAAAAAAAAATATTTGTCCCATTTACGCTATTAAACAATTGTAGAGCCCATCCACTTCACGTGAAGATGAAGGACCAGCGAAGCTGTTATCTTTACGACAACCTTACAGCTTTACGACATCCATACGATTTACATATGACTGCAATGAAGACACGAACACGACTTCGTTATTTAACTGTCTTTATTTAGTTCTTAGTAACTAAAGTGATCACTGCCTTATGGTCACTATGGTAAACCGCCAATGGTTGTATTTTGACTTCGAACGTAAGATCAATACACGTTCTGGTGTTGGTCATTGGTACACGTATACGTGTTGGTATACGACTACGTTATGTTCTTCAGTGACTCGAGCTCTTTATCAGCGATGCTGATGAAGAGCCCAAATCGTTTTATCAGTATCGTGGAAGCGAAAAAAAAGAAGGTTAGAGCGAAGCGTTCTGCCCTCAGCCTCGTCACAGCGCACTCTTAGCTGAGGTAAGTCGGTGACCGTAGATGATAACAAGGAATCAGGACCTCACTATCTAATAATGCCAAGGAAGGCTGACTCACCGCGTTGCCCCCTATTTTTATTTATACTTGCCACGACCAATCGGGACGAAGGAGCGCCGTCTAAATGGAAGTTTTTGTGTTAACATCCATGGACGCATTTTCCGAGATCCTAGCACATAACAGCTTCGCTGTAAAAAAAATCTTCCTATACACCAACTCATGTTTACAAACAAACCAGAGCGCCCCTAGCGGACGCCACCGGCGCCGCGCATGCGCGGTGGATGGTGGGCAAGAAGCCCGCCGTCGCCCATAAACAAACCATTGAATTGCGTTGTTGTCGGCGTCGGTGGGAGTCCCCGTGCTCTTTTTCGCGTTGGAATTGTTGATTCTACGTCCTCCTAACAATGTCTGACCACTTGAGCGGCTTCAGCAAAACTAACCAGGCAAAACTTTGCGTGGATAATGTCACGTGCGGCGGTTCATTTCACGTGGACGCCGCAGAATGGGCGCAAAAGCCTGACTTCCACGATGAGATTCTGCTCGCTATTTTCAGTCGCGACGCCGCTCGGACTGCAAAAGCGTGGACCGTAGTTGAGATGGTGGACGTCGATACTGAAAACCGCAAGTAGAATCGGGCATTACAAGCCGGTGATGGCCACTGGTAACAGTGATCGGTATCTTCTTGTATCTGTTTACACTTAGCCTACTCACCCCAACCAGCCTTCAAAAGTGTTTTGAGGCCTGCACTTAGTTCTTATCGCAATTACCGGCTCAACGTTTGGTTTATGGGCCGCTGTCGTTTGAACGAGCTGACGACAAAAAGCAGCCAAGTTTGAAAGAGCAGACGACAGTTCGAACGGATGCGCAATGGAGTGCCGGCAAGAAGCACCGCGTCCCGCATCAACAAACCATTCGAATGTCACGTTGTCGGCGTCTGTGTGAGTATGCATACTCTTTTTCGCGTTGGAATTGTCGATTCTACATCCTCATCGCAATGTCTTACCACTTTAATCACCTGAGCGAAATTGTCAAGGCTCGTTATGCCGCTAAACTTTCCGTAAATAATTTGACGTGCGGCGATTCATTCGCATGAACGCCGCAGAATGGACGCCAAAACCATGATGAGATTCTTCTAGCTATTTTCGGTCGCGACGTCGCTCGTGCTGCAAAAGTGTAGAAGGTAACGGCGATGATCGACGTCGATACTGAAAATCGGAAGCGGGAACAGACCAAGCGTAACAAGTCAGTGATGGCAACCGGTACCAATGATCAACATCTTGTATCTACTGTTTACACCGAGCCTACTTAAGTCTTTTGAGGCCTGCAATTACTTCTTATTGCAATCACCGGGTCAAAGTTTGGTCGACGGGCCGCTTTTGTTTGAACGAGCAGACGACAAAACCAGACAAGTTTGAAAGAGCAGACGAAATTTCGAATGATCAGGCGGCCGTGTGAATTTGAATACGCACTGAACCCGTGGGTGGTCCGGACAACTTGGCGGTTTTCTCTCGTTCATGTTGGAACAAAGCAAATACATCTGGCGACCACAAAGTGTTGCCCTCAGACGAAATCGTAGTTCGACAGCGTCTGGTTTGCCCCTTTCACGGCTACTATCCACGTCCTCGGACGAACGGAGGGGGCAAAAACACATGAAAACTGATCTTCAAACATTTCCAGACTCTCTTGGTACAGCCCCCATCGCAGCATTTTGACGAGAAGGCAGGTTTTTTGTCTCGTTTCTTCCAAAGGAACACAGGAATGCATGTCTGGCACGGCGACTTCTGCACACCGCCCCAGACCGGAAGTGCGTCCGGCGCGCCACCACCGCGGCGTGAGGAAATTACACTGCAGAAGCTGTGTTTGAGGGCGAGCCAGATATTTCACCTAAGATACCAGCGTCCCTTGTGCAAAGCATTGGATTACCAACAGAGAAAGGTTCAAGAGATGTGTCTGCGATACCTCTGTGAGTGTTGACGTTCGCACTTGTCAGGTTTGTGAATTTATTTTGTTAACGCAGTCCTTACCATGTTTAACTATTCGCCTAAAATATTCCATAAAACTGTTCTTGCTCAATACTGTGATAACATCGATAAGATTCGCTAGCAATTTATACTAAGGTGAAATGAACAAACCATTAGCTGCGACATTTTAAGTTTTCTACCACTGTCATTTGGTGACGTTGCTATCTGTTAGATATGAGAAGGGTTTTGTTTCAGCTGGCGAGTATGCGCTCGTCAGCTGAAACCAAGCATTCGCGCTCGCGACATACGCGATCGCATTTACTTCGCCAACAAAAATGCATACATTGAAGGAGCGATCAAGAACTGGCTAGCAGTGTTCTTTCAAAAAATGGTAAACAGAAAATGTGCCTTATTATTATTTTTAGTATTTTTTAGAGAAGTGAGTAGGGCTTTAGGCGAGCAAAACAAGTACAGACTGATATCACGGTGCTTATATTCATCACGAGTCTCTACAATGCAGGGAATGGCACAGACGCATGATCTTGTCTTATAGTGAATCTTTTTTTTTGGAAGGAAACTCGCGCATTACACGCATAAATGCTCAAGGCCGTGAGCTGACGCGTTGGCTAAATATAACGGAGACTTATTGAGGAGAAGGCGCCCTCTACAACACATCCAAGAAGAGAAAGCCTAAGTGCTGAATTTTCCTGCGTCACTAACGAAACACATCGTATAAGCAAAAAATTGACCACGACAACGGCGTCAGCTTTCGGCCCGGAGTCGCGTTCTTACAGATTAGACACGTGTTCAAAACGAACACTTACGCAGCACTCGTCTCCAATCTGGGGTCTACTTTCGGTCGCCTTCGTTAGTGGCGGAAGAAAATTCAGAACTTAAGCTTTCTTTTCTAGGAGGTGTTACCTCTAATCGAGGTTTAGGTTGCCCGTCAAAAAAGGTCACCAGATGGACGAAATCATCGCAAGTCCTCCGCCGGAACGCGCCAGAAGCCCTTCGTTGGATTGGCACGTAAAAACCCTAAACTTCAATTTGACAGCTGTGCTTTTCGTGTGTTGTCAGTATCCTCTAAGAACTAATAAGTAGATTTGTTTAATTTGTCTTGTTTTTTTGCAATTAATTATTACGTAACCAAGCACTTGCGTACAAATCTGCTCGCTTTCAATTTTCGAGGTTATTACTGCTTTCTTCCAATCTGTATAACTGAGGATGGGTTACCTATACGTTTTTGTTCAGATCGAATTCTTGTCTTTCTTGCATATCTGACGAAAGAATTAATTAAGTATTCTCAAATAAGCAGTGTTCTATCACATATAAGGGTCTTTCAAAAGGGAAGTACTAAACGAGTATGTGATGACGTGTCTAACGTACACACGAATGCGTATGATTGAGATAGATGTGCCTGCCTTTATCCAGTCGCTTATGAATCTATACGGATCGATTTATTTCTTCTCCTGGAAAGGCTTGTGTCTTATTATTTCTTTATTTTTTGTTTTCTTCGACAAGTTTAATAGATGGAAACAGTAACAATTCCTAAATATTTTATCTCTGTAATAATGCTCTTTCGCCCAATAAAAGGCAGAACTATTATTACGTGAACATATATTTTAATCGCGTCATGTTTTCTTTGTTCACAAGACGTGAGGTTCGTTCTGCGTAAACCACCTGCCCGATCTGAATTATTAAGAAAGAAAAACCCCTTCGCTGTTTTAGCGGATAATCACCTTCTCTTCTGTTGTTGCTCTTGTTTTCCATTATAACAACACCTTTTGATAAATTATTGTATAAGCTCAGATTTTTACTTGTGTAACGTAACTCTTTTCATTTCGCGACCTGGGAGTTATCTTCTCATCAAGCTGGAAATCCTGCAGAAACACCTTCCGTTTTGGAAACAAAGTTTTCCAAGGCATCAATGTTTTAAAAAATATCAGTGTGATTTTGCAGCTAAGTGTCACGTTCATGCTTTAAAGGGACATGAATTTGTCGTCTTTGTTACTTTGGCTGATTTGCAGTTGACTAAAAGAACCGACATTCATTAGTTCTTTAACAGGGTAATGTCATTGATGAAATAAATGAGGATAATTAATATATTCGACGTGTTAGTTGTCTCTTATGGTAAGGCAAACATAAATGACTTTACTTTTATAATATCTGACATCATCCGTATAAAGATATAAAAAGCTACATATGATTCGATAAATCTTCGTTCGTCAGTATTCCTATTACCTATAGAAACAATGCTTTTCCCAAGCAATTGTCAACGTTTCTGAAAAGGTGGCCAGTATTGGCGCAGTTCGAGTTTATCCTGCTTAATATAATTGTAAAAGCTGTGATAATATTAAATTAAAAGCTTAAAATATGGGATAATAATGATTAACACGATTAGAAAAATGATCTATTATGGTTGCCAATGTTGGGGAAAACTGGTATGTAACTAGATAATTACATTGGAAAAATTGGTTTGTGATTGGAACACAATATTCAAGGAGCAGGAATATAATTATTTAACATCATGGCCCTAAAATGGTTCTGACTGGATACTGATATCGGAAATCCTGTCTTTATTTGATAACAATATCGAAAATTCGGGCATAATAGTGGGTACCAAAATCGGAAATTCTGGAGTATCATTCGATAACAATATCGGAAACGCATCCCATTATTAAACAGTGATATTGGAAGTCCTGGATTATTATGGTAATACATTATTGGAAATTATGGCGTAATATTGGTTAGAAATATTTGTTTCTGATCGGATAAATTGGAATGGCAATATTGGAATAATAATGGCAGAAACCCCGGATCGTCGTTGGCCTAATATCGGAACATTCATTGGTCCAACGTTGGAGCGGCTCGCACCCTAATATTGGGTTCAGTATTGGAATCCAATCAATCCAATATTGTGTCGAATTTGGGCCAACACTGGTGTGCTGCTTGGCTTTCCGTATAAAGCTATCTTGCTAAAATACGGAACGTCTAAATTGTAAGGTTTTGTCATTCGCGAAGATGTATTTTGTCGCCGTGCAAGCTGCAATTGTCAGCAAGTAAAGCCCATCATAAAGTCTGATGCGAAGAGCATCGCTGCATGTGAAGAAATGGCGTGCATAGTCGCCTACGGGTATTGGACTTACCGTAACGCACGGTTCGGTGTCGTTTCTGCAGTCGGCGTTGAGGTGAGCCTGGACGGCCTCTTCGAGAGAGCGTATTCCTCTCTTCAGATACAGCCTGAAAACGCACATAAAGTCTTGGGCTTAGATGTTTCTTCCTGTGCACCACATCCTAAAGCAAAAATGTAAAAAACAAACAAATATCTATTCGGTTTTGAAGTGCCATAGCTTTAAATCTTTCACATTCATATAAAGCCTGAGCACCTTCTGAAGAAACACGTACGTGTAAACGTTTGAAACGTTGTGAATGTATACACACCATAATCGTTAAAAACAGATAAATATGAACAGCTTGTTTTCGAGACTTTACAGATTAAAAAATATATCCGTGAAGACTGCATTAAAGCGGTTTGTGAAAGTGAGTTATACGGCCAAGCGGACATAATATAGAGGGGTAATCGCCATGATAAGTAAACGAATTAGCTGAACTAACTTAATTGACATCTTTAATTAATGAAAATGCGTATATGGTTCCGACTAGAAACATGCTGAGCGTCCACAAAAACCACTAAATCAGTCAATTTTAAGAAGACTTGGATAACGCCAGAAGCACGCTGAAGTACTAAAGTTGCCACTCATGCAGGAGCAAGGCCACCGCGGTGCGATAACGTGCCTGCGCGGTGTTTTCGTCTCAGTCATCATCAGCGATATCCTACCGCCAGTCTTGTGCTTGTTGCACGTGTGGTATCGTTAACGCACTACTGCGCTTCTCACGCGCTCAAATTCTTTCTAAAAATTACCAATTCAGTGGTCTTCGATAGCATCCAGCAAGTCTCTAATGGGAACCATGCGTTTACCTTCATTAATTAAAAATTTAATTAACATAATTTAGTTCATCATTCGACTCACCGCGACAATTATCCACCCATAATATATCCCCCTGCTCGTATAACTCACCTCCATAAACCGCATTAATGTAGCTTTAGCGTTTTTTTTTTAATACGTCTGTAAAGTTTCGTAAAATAACATCCTGAAGATTCAGCCGTATATTTCTGTAATCATTCAATAATGCAAATATTCGAATCCGGTGGCGGTATTTGCAATTTTTTTTTCACACTATCCTATATAAATTTATCGGTGTTTTGACATTTGTTATGAAGAGATAATTTACGGACGAAATAGATTTGTAAATTTAGGAAACTTCTGCGCTCAATTTGGACACGAACAGAAAAAAAGGGATGCGGACAAACACGTGTCTGCGTCCCCCTTTTTGTGTCCGTCTCTCTTTGCGCTTACAAGTTTTCTGGGCTTCATGCACCAACTAGCACAAGTCTTGTTAGGTTTGTTCAATGCGTTTGCATTTGTAAAACATTAACACTGCAAGAATGCCTCACCCGCGATAACAAGGTGGCAACGGGAATCACAGTTGACGGCAATTATACAGAAAAAAGAGAGCTCAAAAGCTTCAAAGATGTTTTGGGTGGAAAGTCTTCTGGGCCCGACAATGTTACCTATATTTTTCTTATCAGGGTACGCTGAATGCGTTTCGAAATATCCGTTTGTTTTGTTTTCAAAATCATTGTACGACGGTTAGGGTTGAGACAACTGGAGAACCGCCAGTGTCAAAGCAATTCACAAGAACGGGGAGAGAGAAGGCATAGGGAGCCACCGTCCAATTTCATTGACTTCAACTGCCTGTAAACGTGTTGAACATATATTATATACTCATTTATCGGCATTCTCAGATGAGCATAAAATGTTGTCTAAGCCTCAACATGGCTTCAGAAAAGGTTCCTCGGCTTGTACTCAATTAAATTAAACTATTCACGATTTTTGCCTCGGCGATTAACACCAGAAAACAACTTGAAGCTATTTTTATCAATTTCTCGAAGGTATTCGATAAGGTACCCCATGAGAAATTAATGCACACATCAAACACAATATTTAAAAACACACAGTTAATAAAATGTATCTCTGCATATCTCTCAAACCGTGGACAATGCGTAGTTTTTGGTGAACACTGTTCTGACCGACTTTCTGTGAACTCTAGCGTTCCCCAGATTTCTGTGCTGAACCCTCTCCTTTCTTTTTGTTTTTTGTGTTTGGTGGCTGTTAATAATGACATAGTACGATATGTTCCTCTGAAAATCAAATTGTACGCTGATGACTGCATAATATACTCAGAAGTAGATAATGCTTCGGATCAACTTTTAATAAACAAAGCATTTAAAAATATCGCGACATGGTGCACGGATTGGCATATGAAAATTAACTTTGAGCGAACGGTTGTTATGAGTATTACTAACAAAAAATACACTTTAAAGTTCGTTTACAGTTTTAATAATATCCCCCTATCAGAAGTCACACAATATATATACCTTGGACTGTGGATTACACATAATTTTACTTGGACAAAACAAATCGATTACGTAACATCCAATGCTCTGCGGAAGTTTTTCTCTCTCAGGAGACCGTTGAAACTTTCTCCCCCTTCCTTACGTCTTCTCACATATAAAACTATAGTACTGCCATCCTTAGATTATGATGCAATCATTTGGTATTCTCTCACTGAGATTAACATCAGTAAACTTGATCGAGTAAAAAAAAAAGGCCGCTCGCTTTGTTTATAATAACTTTGGGCGGACTTCAATTACCGAACTTTTAACCAGAGCTGTCCTTGTATGAAAAAAAAAAAAAAAATCGGCATTCTCGAATAAAACCTTTCTACCAGTTAATTAATGGACACTATAATATACACCTGTCTGAATTAATCACTTTCTCAACATGATAGGATACACGACAAATGCATGCTCTAACAATAGCTCCTCTTCAGTCGCGTAATAATTGCTTCAATCATTTATTTTCTGCCGAACAATAACTGAATGGAATGACATCGCGGAGACAGTTGCCATTAGGCCATCATTGTCATTTCGCATCTAAATTATATTATCCCCTTTGGCACCGACCAAACGCACTAGAGCAAAAAGAAGCGGTTCCGACCCAAATTACACAATTATCACGATCTGAGAAAAAAAATCTTTAATAGCTCTAGCTACTCTCGCCCTCCAAGTCCCCTCTCAAAATTTCATGGGACTAATCTAGTTGTCATTGTCCAACGTCCCATAGCAACAAACGTGCGATGATACACTTTATCAAGCCCCAGGTGCGCTATATAACAGACCACGCAAATATATGTTTACAGTCTTTGTCATTGAAAATCGCTCACGTTTTTCAATTTCTAATTGTCGGACCCTATGTAGGATATCGTTCATGAAAGGTAGGATATGATGTTCTATTGTTTCACTTCATAAATTGATTCTGAGAACCGCAAACTACATCGACATTATAATATGCGGTAGTCAGTAAAATGTTTTAGAGCGCAGCTCTTAGGCGCCCGTTTCTGGCTTGAGCGGCGTCAGCGTCGGCGTAACCGCGAGACCCCCCCCCCCCCGAGGATCTCGGGAGGACCTTGGGTTCTTTCGGCAGGACCTCGGAAGGACCTCGGGTTCTTTCGGTAAGACCTCGGGAGGACCTCGGGAGGACCTCGGGACGACCGCGGGTTCTTTCGGCTGGACCTCGGGTTCCCTTGGGAGGACCTCGGGTACCTTCGGCGACCTCGGGGAGGGGGGAGGGGTCACGTGACCCCCCCTCCCCAAGGTCACGTAACCCCCCCCCCCCCCCCCCCCGCCCGAGTTCACATGATCCGCCCCCCCCCCCCCCCTCAGTACCCTTCCCTCCTCCTCCTCAAGAGCTGCGCTCTGATTCGGCGCTACAAGGAGTTGTTAACGGCTTTCACTTTTTTTTATACCTACTTCGCCTCCGTTTGGGTGATGAGGGCGAAGGATTCAAAAACAGGCGTGTATGGGACGTCGCTCCCTCGAAGGTTGAACAGCCCTACAAATAGAAATCAACGCAAATATTTAACTACCTTAAACAACCCGTATGCAATTTCTACGTAAATCGGTGGGCAATACTGGAGTTTTGCATGTTTTCGAGACACTACAACACCGCTAGACTTAAAAATTACGCAAGAACTGAAAGTGCCGTCTTAGTCATATTTGAGCGAAGCTTTTTTTTAAGCTAACCAACTGAAGCTATACAAAACCTACGTGTAAAATGAATATTTTATCATTGCCACCAGGGGGAGAGTAAAAATCAACAATGATTTGAATCGTAATTTTAATCGGACAAGCTTTGCCGTGATAACTTAAATTAAGCCATTCCCGCAAGAATAATCCCGAAAATATCTTTACATTTACGGCCTATCTATCATTTAGTGTGTTTCTTTTTTTTGCTATGCGTATCTGTTTAAATTTAAATCAAATAATCATAGAAGAAGAAATATTAATATAAAAATGAACACGAGCAGACAGCAGTGTTCTTATGAGCATCAGAATTAATTGAAGGGCTAGTTGGTTGCTCTGTCCTGTCCCCTCCTTCTTTTCTTAGTCCTTTGCGCTTTTAAAACCACCGTCGGGATGTTCTTATGAGCAATCTGAGTTTTGAGCTCTCTTTCTACCTTCCACTTCAGTCGTCAGTTACGTAAAGCCAATCCGAACGTGAAAGAAAGGAACAAAATTGAGAAGACTAATGTCCTATTGCAATCAAATTACAACAGGAAAGGGAAAGCAAATAGCGACTTTTAGCTAACTAAAAAAAAATCTAGCTGCTTTTGTTCGAATTTAGCAGGTTTACACAATGAAACGTCGTTAATTAAACTACTTTAAACATACAGTAATTTTTTCGCAATATTATCAGTGATCGGACGTATATTGGTTAGTTAATCAGCCATGTTTAAAAATACTCTTGCGACGAAGTATCAGTATTATCGAGCTACGTAATTTAAGTCAAATTAATTTGATTTAAATCAGATACGCGTAATTTCCATCAAGTAGACCAGATTTACTTCATTTTTTTTAAACAATCATGTCTTTATTTTTATTCATGATTGCCATGCAACAGACAGACAGACAGTGTTACCCCCGTGAACCTTAATATCATTCTCCTCGAATTACCTGTTTGATACTAAATATTACTTCCAAGTTTGCTTAATAAACTTGATTACACCCACGACGCTTCGAGGCGAGCTTATCGAGTGCCACATAGAAGACGAGGGCTGCGCATGACGCAATCGTCAGTGTGGATCGCCGACCTCAGTAGCTCGACAGGAGCCCCAACAGGACGGCAGATGCATCCGTCTTGGCGATGCCGCGTGCTAGCGTCACGCCTGTTGTAAGATGCAGCCTGCAAAACGATCTAGAGGTCATTTTCGTCCAAGACCGTCTCTTGGAGAGCGTTGAAAACCCTCGCCTCCCACCGGTCGTATTGCCTGGTCGGACGTCGGATCGGACGGGTTTCGTCGTGCATGTGCTTCGCGCTTTAAAGTCTGGTGGCGTCATGTCGCCTCCAGAAACTTCCTTCCTCCATGGTGACAGGTTAAGAGTGAAGTGAACTCCTCTTTCCACTTTAGCAGAGCGAGCGCTGGGGGGAGGTCGCCTCCTCTCCAGCATTTGCTCGGCTCAAGTGGAAAGAGATGGGCAGAGGTCACACATCCTCGTCCTCTTTCGCCCAGAATTGATCATCATTTCAAAGTTGGCACCGGCTCTGCTCACACCAAAGTTTTCTACCACGCATTGATACTATATATACCAGAGGTCTCAAACACGCGGCCCACAGGCAATCACCTACGAGTCCCGGTTCCCATGTCTCGAGCGCTGGAAATGGCATGCGCCATAGTGTTCTCATCTCGTCGATTTATTTTCGCTCCAAAAACAACTCTGCTTTTTAACCTATTCACATAGTTTACACTTATCTGTGATAAATTGCCCTTTGTTTCGCTTTATATTTTGCTTCCCAGCTTTTTGTAATGCACATTTTCCGCTACTATGATGCAAGTGCGAGCTGTTCGTTGAAGGATGCATTTCGGCTTCGCGAACTCTCAATCAGCAGGAGAAACTGCTAAAGCTAGAGCTTCGATCTCGGGATTATCGCCTACAAAAAATATTCTCAGTAAAAAATAATTATTTGTTCATGGTGTTGTAATACAAATCGTCAGGAAAGCAAGAACTGTGAAATTATCGAATTGTTTCTTTAGAAACATGTTGAGCTTGGTCAATTCCTGAGTGAATTGAGCAACGAGAACGAGAACGTACTTGCTCTCTTGTTCTATTAAGAATGCCAGCACGTTGACGGTGCGGTGTCATCTCATTTCATGTGTTTGCATCTGGTCGGTTCCCAAAGTAGTTATATAAACAAATGAAACCTAAAGACGTCACTGGCAAACAACTTTGCGTTTCCAAAACATAAAGCGCGAGGTCTCTTCTCTTTCAAAACTTTTGAACGCCGCCCCCCCCCCCCCCCCCCCCTCCCATCTTACAATGGCCCTCGGCCCTTCCGGCGTGGGCTATCGGCCCCCACACTCATATGAGTTTGAGACCACTGACATATATGGTGTCTTTAATGGTAGAAAGCTCGCTTTTAAAATCGATGAGAAAGATCGCCGCTTGCATGTAGTAATCTAAAATTTTCATCGAAGGCACACTTTAGGGGTTCGCATTTTCTCGCGAAATTCCAAGGCCCCCTTCCCGTGAAATACAAAAATGACACCAACGTACTTGCTAGGGTCAACGGTGGATACCGACGCATCGAGCAGATGAAGGCGTCGTCTGCTTTCGAACGAGTTCATCATCTGGTGGCGTAACGAAATGCGAACGCGGCTCGGATTTCATTAGGCCGAACTGTTTTTTTTTTTTTTCTCCGGGTAGCGGCACGCCACGCGTCCCACGAGATTGCGGTTTGGTTCCGGATCGGGTTGGATAATAAATGTTCTGTTTCGGTTTTGATGCGGTTGGGCTAAAAATGTCGGTTTCGATCCGGTTTTCGGTTCGGGCATGTCTCGACAACCCGTCCAAGTATGTACTTACAGGCGATTTCATCCAGTGCTGATATTACGATGCCGTCAATATGTTGAGCGGACAGCTTTTCACGGAGTCGTCCAACCTTGCTTTGCCAGGTCTCCCCTAGAGGACGGGCAGAGAGTTGGGTGACTCAAAATCGAATCAAGAAATCGTGTTATATAAACCAAATAGAGCATTTCTAAATCTGCTTTAGAGCTTAACTAATAAAAATATTTCACAAATAATTTTAAAGCAAATTGTAGCTCTCACTTGACTATAAAGACTAGATAACCTCTTTAAGAAGGTGCTGGCGAAATTATATGCTCGACCGGTACGTCAAAGCTGTGGAAACTAACAAATTACATCCTTGATGTATTGCAAGTAACGTCAAGAACTAAAAATGTCAAGCACATATAAAACGCCATAGCGACACATTTCAAACCTGAAGATGAAGGTATTGGCGCGAAGTTGTGCTTGCGCGGGTGTTTAGTCTAGCTTTACTTTGCGTTTATACCTTCTCCGAAGGTTCGTTCGTCTCCACGGCACGGCTCATGGCTTCTACCGGAGTCGGGGGGCCCCAAATGGGGGCGAACGTGAAAGCTGTAACAGTACACTTAGTTTATAGAGCAGCCGCATCGAAGATGTTTTGTCGTGTGCATGTCTGCTTTTGGAATCTCCCCTTCGGAGGTGGTTTTTCTTTCTGTGTAACTTCTATCTCTACAAATGTGTTTTTTATTGTTTATGACTGCTCTTGTGAGCTTCGTCCAGATTGTGTTCTTTTTTGTGTATGCCCTTGTGTTTGGAATGTTCATATTTGCTTTGGGCTCCTAGCCTTTTAATTGGCTCTAAAAAAACCTTCTGTGATTGGTTGCCAAAGGTGCTCCAGAGTGCTGCTTAACTCAATATATGCAGCCGCCAAAGGTTCCCTGCCTACCTTGAGGCCTCCCAGAAGGCAGATATCCAATAAACGCATTATCCATCCATCCATCCCGCAGAGGACTTGGCTCCTGGATACCAAGTCTGAACATCACCCTGCCTCTTAAGGCCAACCTGCACGTCCGACCCCTTCGGCTGTGAAGTAGTCCGCTCGCTAACTTGCAAACTTGAGACCCCTTAAGGCTGTGGAGGAGTTCGGCTCGCCCGCCTTTGTGTGGATCCTTGTTTGTTGAGTTTGGCTGTGGTCGGGGCACCCGCTGAAGGTGTGGTCGAGGAGGACGGCAGGGTAAGTCACCGGAGGTTAGGAGCTGTACCCCTAAACCCCTAAAGTTTTGTCTAAAATTATATTATGTGCAATCTGATCTACAAGAGTAATGTCTCTATGTTCATTAAATAAACAGTTGTTTGTTAATATCAAAATTGTCATCGACGGAGAAACATTCCAATTGTCTTTCTGGCAATATAAGAAGCCCCCGACCTTTTCTGGAAAATACTTGCAGTTATGAGAGCTGCCTTCTGTCTAGGCTGCCAAAGCGCTCTTCGAACGGATCACTCAACTAGGTAAAAAGAGAGCCTTTGTAATGTTCGGGTGAAAATAAGTAAATGTCTCTCTAAATACCGTTTTCGTGTGACGGTCGCCATGGTGAAATATAAAGTAGCTGGGATAGGTGACAAAACAAAAAAAAAAAAAAAAACTAAGTAAACAGTTTAAGCATAACTAAAATTTAAAAAAAAATATAGCCACGAAAAAAGTAGAATTAATGGCACGAACCCCTCCAATTCTAGCGCCTTCCAGTCGGCAAAGCAAGCGATTTGCTATTTTGCCCCAACTCCGCAACGTCAGAATTCAACGTGGAGACCGCCACGAAGAAACGCTCAATAGTCACATCTCCTTCCAGTGTCCGGCCTCCAGCACGTGCTCGGTACTTCAGCCGCACATTGGCTGCACTTACAAGCTCCAAGATCACTGGACACCGAACTACTAGCGAAGGAAGGAAGGAATCGCGCTTTGGAGGCGGAAAAAACAGAGAGACCTTCCTGCCGTTCCCATCCTGCTTTACTTCGTTTCACCTTAAAAGTCCCAACGCAGCCGACGCTACGAGCTCCTGGAACCAATCAGAGACCGTCAAAATCCCACCAACATGGTGTTCGTCATGTACCTGTACTCACCACGCCCTTCCTTTCTAAATCTGTCAGTGTCTCAAGACTGTTGTCTCTGTTATTCGATTGTGTGCAATTCCAAAAATTGGGTTGTGTGTGTGTTTATACAGCCTAGAACTTGGTCTGCCTCACAGGGGCGACGAGTCTCCCAGCTGTAGATGAGCAATTTAGCCAGTGCGGTACAGCCGCTAGCCTGGGGTCTTTAACGTGCACCACGCAGTAGTGATACACGACCGCACGCCGGTACGATGCTCATCCAGATCGAAACGGGCAGGGGTGGGGCTCGAACCCAGGATCCCTGGGTTCTGCAGCGCGAGCTTTCGCTCCACGTGCTCCGAGCTGGTGTGCGCTAGACCACTCGGCCACCGATCCCCCCTGCAATTCCAAACCTGTTCTCTTCAGTCGCACCCGTCTTTTGTTATCATTGATGGATGACTCTTATTCCAATTAAGGTGCCCAAGCGACGAGTTTGGGGACGCACCGGCGTACTGAAGCTCGTGAACCGTGATTGGCGACAACGGCTCGTGCGGCCTTCCGGTCCCCGAGGTCCAGATGACGTCGACCAAGTTGCTGCCCTTGCCGACCAAAACCAGCTTGTGCCTTTCCAGCTGACTCTTGAGCGTCGCATACTGAAGCAGAGAAGAGACGGGTTGTGCCGACTAAGAAGCAGTTTTCACACTATAGACTTTCCAATAATTGCCATCTTTGCCTACTGGGTTCTGAAAAGCCTTTTGAGCTCGCGCAGTAGCTCTCTTCCACGAAATATGAGACGCCGCGCATAGGTGCACAGCCCAGTGACTCAGAATTGTTTTTCCTGGGTGATAAGCACTGGGAAAGTCTATATGATCAGAGTGCAGCCGGCGCTAAGTGACCCAAATGAGTCTATAAATTCAACGCCAAAAGTACATCGTCACGGTGCTCGTCGTCGTTGTGCGTTAGCCTATATAGATCTTTGCATCGCTTATCACCCGGGCGAAAAATGCCGAGTCAGTGAGCTGTGGACGCATGCGCAGCATCGGATATATCGCACAGCAGAGCAAAGTGCATGCCCAGGAGGGGGTCCACGGCCCAGCAGACAAAGATGGCCGCGCGCAGACGGAGATTTTTGCAAAGGTCTACATCAATGGCTAAGCCAATCAAGCACTGTAAATGCGCCGTAATCCTGCAGTTTTTTTTGTTTTTTTTTCTGCTGGGGTGATTGGTTTAGCCGTTGATAGATTAACGCACAAAGACGACGAGCGCTATGATGATCACTTTTCGCACTGTCTGATTGGGGAACTGCAGTAGACCGTTTCCGCAGCCCGCTAAGCACCCGGATAGCGCTCCGTAATCCGCCACAAGACCTTGAACTATGCAGATAAGGCTGACGGCGCGCATGCGCAGCTGCGGCGTTTTCTTCAGGGTTACCGTAGCGGAGGAGAAAAACGCTCTACTACAACTCCCTATTAACGGCAACGCCCGACCTTAGTGTGAAATGAAGTATGGTCCACTCTCAGGCTGTAGCTACAACGTGTGAACCATTACTGTCTGTTTTGCCGGGCATTTTCGTTGCACGGCTACCCAAAATCCCAGGGCGTTTTAATCTAGCTTTATTCATCCTTTTTTGTTTGGCAACAAACTCAGTGGCACGTTCTACTCGGTAGTCCTGGCACACCTCCGGTCCGGGTATATTTTCTAAATTTTTACCTGTCATTATTTCGCCATAAGGTTGAATTATGGGTTAGAGTGGCATAATAAACCATTCTCTGATAACAGCGCGTACATTTAATCTCGCAAACACTGTAAACCCCGCCGTCTAGTTGGGAAGGGGAAGGGTTTGAGGGCTATTTGCGCACTGGCGCCCCCACGTTTGAACGCACGCGAGAAAGAGCGAATAAAATGGATTGTGACGAGACCTGAAAAATTGTTTAACTGATGACTTCAGGCTGAGGTTTCACAGCGTCAATCTTGAATGTTCTATCATAATGTGTGGCCTTTTTACCTTATATCAACACAAAGACATTGCAAGCGCGTGCCCTCCTTCGCTACGGAGCAGGGGCTGTGTGCGATCAACGGAATAGCCTAGCAGACGACGCTCCCTCCAGGAAGGGCTTTGTGCGCACGCGCTTAACCATATTTCCGCACACCTCCACGGGACGGCACTGACTGTCCCGTCGGTCTAGAGTGCCTTCATACACACGACGCTCGCTTGATATTATTAGAAAATTGAGCCACTTTACATGAATATTTTTAACGCTCGCAATTTAAGTTTTATGTTACTTCGTTTTTTTTTTGTTTTTTTTTTAAATGGCAACATACTACTTTTTTCTTTGTTGAGTGGTAAAAGAGGGGCATTTATATTATAAAATTATTCGAAAACGACATAAAAGAGCAACACAACCGCTGTGCTCCTTGAAACGGAAACCAACCGAATTGAACCAACATAGTGGTAGCGAGTAGGCCAGCGCCCTCTATCCGCTGGTCAGGCAACTACTGATATGACTGAGCAAGGGCAAGAAAGGAAAGGGGAAAAGGCCACCGGCGCTTTCCTCCTTGCAAGAGCGGTAGAAAGAGTGAAAGACCCAGATGAGAGGCTTCGCCGGAGTTGGGTGTGTGCATTGCCCGAACCTTGTTCGCGCTTTCTTCTCTGTTTTAAACTCCCAAACTTAATTAGAGCCACGGGCTTCGATGGTGACAGTTCCCCGGCCATCGGGACACCATTGCTCGGTCATAGGGTGCACGAATAACGACAGAAAGCTTCGAATACTGTCCGAGGAGCTATGTAGCTTGCTTGTATGGAATCCGGCAAGACGAGTACGACTGCAATGTCTTTAACCTCCATCATTTTCCACATGACCCCGATCTCCGGCGGCAGTGGGTTGCGTCCGTAAACCGAAAATACTTTTCCCCAACGGCATCCTCTCGACTGTGATCGGAACAGTTTGTGAATGGGGCGCGCACCGAACGCTCTACCGTCGATGAACATAAGGTAGGCTCACAAGGTGCCTGCACGTTTTTTCGTGATAATTGCTGTTTGAGCTTGTAACTTATTGCAACCGAATCTATGTTAATATTGATATTTTGAAGTGGTGACACTGACTCGATTTGATCATCTACAACACTTAGTTGAAGTCTCATTTCCGCCACCGTGTGTGGCTGGAAATAGTAGAAAAGGTAGTTCTATCGGATTCCCTGAACCGCGATCCCCTGCGTGATACCAGAGAGCCGAGGACTTATGTTGGCCGTCACAACGCGACTAGATTCTTCTAATTTTAAAATTAGTGCATAATGTAGCTGGAAAGAAACCTTCAGTTTCTGTTACTGAAAGTTGAAACATGTTCATGCATCGATTTCGAATCGTTGAATCATTGATCGACTCACTCCGGCAATAGGCTCATCTCGACTTTGCTGTTTTTAGTTCTCGACAAAAGACATACTCGCCAACACGGGATTCTCAAATATAACGTTTAAAAACAGCTTCGAGCAGGAGTGAGCAGCCCTCGATGGTTGCAAGCAATGTTGTCAGAAGTGCACACGCCACGGAGAACTCATAACACTAGTAATTCAGTAGTGTTGAATGCTCTACCGCCATGTATTATTTTATCAAATTTAGTCTATACGAATTTTATAGAAATATGTAGACAGAACATCTATTGAGACGTGAAGGTAAAATTAAATTGCATTTCTATCATCTTTACTGTTGAAAGGAAGCCTATATGATATATATTGAAGATTGTCTATACGACGTGACAGGATAGGGAGGTGAAAGGGTCGCAAAAATGTGGATAGGATTTATACAGACTGTCTGAAATTGTTTTGTAAGGGCGAGGTGATATATTATTACTGCCAGTATTTGACAGTCTACATCAGAATTATTTTTCGCTCCCCTTATTTTCAGAGTGCTCCTCGCTCGCTGCCGGATCGAGTAGACGTGCTGGTATTGACGTCATCGCAGTTGTTTTCACGAGAGCGTGGAGGGATATTTTATTTTAATTTCCAAATCTTGTGTAATAAAAAAAAAAAAAAAAACTCGCTTTAACTGTTGTTTAGATAGGTTTGTCGCAACTCCAACTCTCTATAAATCGCGGGCGGTAGTTATAAAATGGCGGAAGAGACGGGGATAGATTTTCCATTCGCCTGCTCGCTGACGCTGGTCCGTCAGCTTAAATCAAGTTATTTGGTTACAAATGGGGAATGGTTAGGGCAGGAGCGTACCACAGATGACGGAGATGTTTAAGTGCGTAAACAAAACAAGCGTGTTTTTTTTTGTTTTTTTTTATTTGCGGAAACATTACATTGTTTGTGAAGCTTTCTGGATGGCCAGCGCGTTTTGGGCACCGGTCACGCCATTGTATGTGTCAAAATATGTTTTGTGGGTAATGAAAATATAATGTTGTTTTCACTGTGCCTCGTCGCCAGTGCTCTTAAACGTGAGCCACGCAGGGTGACATCTTTTTGTAGAGCAGCGTTCATAGTATTGATGTCCCTCTGTCAGAGGTTCACAGCTCGCTACATACCGTCGCGGTTTTAGTGCTTTGCAACACGTGATCAGCCTGCGCCATGGTTATTAATAGGGAGTTTTCGTAGATCGTTTTCGCCGTCCCGCAAGGCCCTCCGCAACCCGCTGCGATAGCGGAAACTCCACAGTCAAGGCTATCGGCGCGCAGGCGCAGTCGCGACTTCTTCGTTGCGGAACGCTTAGCGGAGGGGGCAGCGCGGTCTACGAAAACTCCCTAATTACAGTTATAGCGTAGCGTAACCGCAGGTGAGGCATTGCGATCAGAAGTACGCACTGCACCTTTGAACCATAATTTTCAGCGCGCGCAAGGAGCGTACAGGCGTGCCACAGTGCCTGTAGTAACACTATGGAAGAAATTCGTAATAGCGCCATCGGCGGCTTTACGGGTTGTATTTATTTATTTTCTAAAAGAAATATTGAAATATACAGTATACAACACCTGTATACCGCGTTATTCGCAATGTCCCGACCCGTCTTGCCAAAACAGTCCATTTTAGCCACTCCTCTCAATCGGTCCGCAAACGCGCTTTGAAATGTTTATTTCTTGGCCCTTGTAAGTAACTGACAGCAGGTACGCGTTGTCTGTCTTCTGGACGTGCGTGAAGCAAGCCGTTATATTCCTTGTCACGGTGTTTTAGCGCATAAAATACGAACCCATTCCCGATGTCAATCGCTACATATTTCACCGTTGAGCGAGCGGTCCTATCATATACTTCCTGGAAAGTATAGACTTTTCATAGATCGTACGCACGAACTTTGCACTACTAGAGGTGGCTCTTGTTGTCTAGTTAAACAGATGTTGTGATTGCGATCGCAGGACCCGAAATCCACAGCGTATGCGATCTACTAAAAAAATCCAAGGAAAACAGGTGCCTTCGTGCAACACTTTCGCAAAGTAGACCATAACAAATCATCTTTGAACGCACTCGCTTTTTCGTGAAATCTGCATGATGCACGAACACGTCGACTAGAACCGCAGCAGAAAGGCCGACAGTTCCTGGCTATGTTCCAACTATTACACAGATGGATCTGAGTTACTCCGGCGGGTCATGTCACGCGACAACAAAGATTGAAAAACGCTGAACGCGGGTAGGTTTGGAAAGCCAAGGTGTTAAACCCTTACTCGGAGTAAGATTGAGTAAATTTTGGAATACGGCCCTAGCCACCTCCTCCACCGCTGTTACCACTCGTCTGGTTATTCGGTCGTCCGCAAGAGGGCGAGCGACCGGCCAGAGTCGCGAATAGCGCTGTGCTCAAGTAAGCTGACATTGACTATAGCCTAATTAAGGTCGGTTGCTACAACGGATGTCTATGCAAAATGCACCGCTGTCTTGAGCACGAAATTAAAACACTTCAGGCTTGGTCTTAACCAATGTAAATTACTTACATATTTCTGACGCAGGGTTCGATTGCGACTCGTGCTCAATTAGTGAAGTGTCCCGCCGAACGATGAAGCAACACTCGCGTTCAATCTGTGGCACGAGCTCGATCAATGTAAACGACGTAATAATCGAGTGCACGGGCCTTCAACGCCGAGCTGTGGGGCAAAGCAGAGGGATAAGTTGGGCCAGTTCATAATCTGCGGCAAAGAATCCGAAGAAAGCTCTCTCTGCGAACAATGGGCATCTTCTCTGAAAAAATAGAAGTGCATCTACTTATAAAAAAATACATGTGAGTTCATGTTTTGGCAGAACATAATGACATTCAATCGTACGCAGAAATGTACAAGTTACCCCAAAAAGTAACGAAATACCGTTACTGGTAACTCGCTCAAAAGTAACTAAGTATGTTACTCGTTACCGATTCTGAAGACGAACGTATGAGTTGCCTTAAAAGTAACGAGTTACTTTTCATGTTACTTTGACGACTAAATACACAAATGTTTTGTTTCGTTTTTTTTTTTCTTTTTAGTTGTCGTTGCGCTTAAGCAGTAGCTGCCCCTTGAAGTTCTCATCAGTAATGTTTCCCCGCTTCCTTGAAAATACACCTCTGGCTACGCTAAAGACTCCTTTGACCGACGCGCTCGAAGGAGCGCCAGTGTTGAGCTTCAGGAAGAGCTCGTGCATCTGGGATCCCGCTCTTTCTTGTGTTCTCTTTACTTCTAAAGTTCGAAGTTGACAATGGATTGTGTGCCCTCCCGTGTTAGCAACCTCCGGGTTTACATTTGGTCCGTACTCGGCTCCAGAAAGTTCAACCAACGAATCGTATTGTGTTCGCTGGGTGAAGGACATGACAAGCTGTAGAGTTCAATACAGCAACGTTTATCGCTGGACACGTCAGTCGAACTGTTCGACTCACGTGTTCAGCGATATACGTTGTTGTACTGTAGTTGTATTTCGGGTTGCGCTCCTAGTGGTCTCGCAGTAGACGCATATTCAGGTTAGGATAAAAACGAGGTTTTTTAAATGTTGTTGTATACATTACTCCTCAAAAGTAACGAAATACCGTTACTCGTTACTTGGCTTCAAAAGTAACTAAATACGTTACTCGTGTAGATGGTTGAGCGTACGTTACTCGTTCCTTCTCTAAAAAAAATAAATAAATACGTTACTCGTTACCAAAAATAGTAACTAGGTAGAAGTAACTTGCTACTTGTAACGCGTTACGTGCATGTCTGATACTACGAACAATACAAAGATCCTAGCGACTAATAAAATTGAGAATACAAAAGAAATGCGATGAATGGAGGGACAACCAGTATAACGTTTCACGTGCTCGTTGTACCGTGCACATCATATTTTTCATATCTAATCGCAAAGTCGCGAAGTTACACCTTCGCAGCTTTGTTGTCTTAGTTTTACCTAGGTTGGGGGCCTCCGCGGGTCGCCCATAGTAGTCGGACGCTAGTAGCCGCCTTGAGGCGGATGAGTGCTCCCCTTCGACGTGGTTCACGAAAACTCACACTTGGGGTGTAGAGTGACACGGTACGTGCATTTCTTTTGCATGTCTACAGCACCCTGACTCACGCACCGTCCTGCGTCAATCTCTGGTCGTCGACTGCGGGTAACAGAAAAGAGCCGGATTCAGGGAATTTGAGAAGGGTTTCATGCGTTGAGTGGGCTGTTTTTAGTGCTATATTGATTTGTCTTGTTGTTTCCGTACTTTGTTTTGCTTGCTGATTTGTCTTGTACGTGCCTCGTCTCGTGACCATGGCTTCGAATGTGTTTTGTGTTGATTTTAGCTGCTCTTGTCATCGTTGTTCGAAATTTATTTTGACTTGTGTATGCGATTGTTTTTGTCATGCTTTAGGCTCCGACCCTTTTGACTGGTGCTAAGAAAACCTTCTATGATTGGTTGCCTAGAGGGAGAATGCTGCTAAACATAACATAAGCAGATGCCAGAGGCTTGCAGAGAACTCAGCGCCCGGATACCATGTCGTAAACGTCATCCTGCCTCTGGAGATCAACCTACACGTCCGACCATCTTCGGCTGTGGAGTCTTTGGCCCGCTAACTCGTAAATAGGGGAAGACTTAGGGCCCTAGAGGAGTTCGGCTCGCCCACCCTTGTGTGAATCCTTGCTTGTCGAGTTCGATGTGGTCGGGGCACCCACTGATGGCGTGGTCGAAGAGGACGGCAGGGGAAGTCGCCAGAGATAGGAATATTTTCTGCCAAAGTTTCTTGGCGGATTGTCCTTTGTGTTGGAGAAGAGTCCCTCTCAAATTCGTAAAATAAATAGCTATATTCAAAGCGACTTATTTCATGAAATAAGCAAGAAACATTCCAGTTTTTATCGTGACGATATTCTCAGTTTTTTCATTCTGCGGGATTCTTTTGTAGTTTGCCGTGATAGGCCGTCTCTAGGAAAGTGAGTTCACAGACTCTTTCTTTAGAGTGCGCTAACTCCAATGGCTCTGCTCTCAGGCTTACATATTCTTGCGTGACGAGGCGGGTGTCGACGCCGATTTTGTTGTTGCCACGGGCGACGTCATCGGGCGGGATCATGGCGGCGAAGGTCCCCACAAGGTCGGCGCCCTCCGGAACCAGCGTCCACTGGCAGTCCATCTGGAGAGCGGCTTGGACACGGTAGCGGGAGTCCGTTTGCACGAGGGCCCGCTCCTGGAGAACAACAGCCATGCCTTTAACGAGAACACCGGACATGCCACATTAGGGGACACCTCTCACGAAATATACTTTCCATCTATAGTTTTGGTAAAACATTCAGCGATACCTCTCAAACATAACTTCGCAAGCTGTAATACATATTTGTGTCAGAGCTGCAGTGTCCTTTCGACCGCAGAGTCATTCTCAAGATTGCTAAAGCAAACATAAACACTTGTCCCAAAACAACCCCCCCCCCCCCCCCCAAAAAAAAAAAGAAGAATAGCGAAAAGCTGATTTGAGTGAGCAACTCGTACTAAGAGACGCATTGTTGCTTAAATCTTATCGCTATAGTTTAAAGTTTTGGCAGTGAAAATTTCAAAGAGTGCAAAAAACCCAGGGAAATCAGGCGATAGAAAAGACAACTAATAAGTCTCCAAGGCTCGAAAATAGGTCAAGAATGAGTTTATGGGAACCGATTATGAAATATTCTGCACAACTCAAGTTAGTGCATTCTGGCATTACAGCCTGTTGCAAAATAAGAAATACAACAAAAGCTCTACACAGAAAAAATGAGGCGTCATTTAATGCATGCGCCAAGGCAAGTTGGACATGGGCGAATCGCTCTATTTGTATGCGGAAATATTGAAAAAAGAACGCTGGCGGATGCTTCTCTATTTCCTTGACTCCGTAAAAATGATGTGCATGTAGCGGGTGGTGTCGTGACGTCATTTATGTATGGGGATGTGGGGGCGGCGCCCTTCTGAAAGTTGTGAAGGTGCAACAGACTATAGAAGGCTTATGAGCAGTTTACAGAAACCTCATCGTGTGCGCGGGTGCTCATCCTTTCCGGTGTTCGCGAGGCGCGTGAGCCTCACTCGGCGCTTGGTAACAGTTGAATAATACACCCCCTTCAAAATGATCATCAGGCAACATTGGCGGTCGCCATTGCTTCGACACGAAGCGCGTGATTGGATCCGAGTTCACGCCGAGCACTGACGCAGCGCTCGTGCCTAATACAAGCTCAGAGTATTGGAGCAAGCAATGGCGGACAGGCGTTTGCGCGGACTTTTGAAAAAAGTTTGTTCACGAGAGAGAGCACACGTACAACGTTCCATGGCCTCTTTTTATTTTTAGTTCCCTCGCAGATACTTTTTTTCTTTCTGAGTAAGGTTCGCAGTCATTTCAGGATTTAGAAATCACACAGCGTCTCTGCATTGCCTAATTTGAACAGCATTCTCGGTTCGGAGGTATTATGACAGCACCGGCACTGTTTCTATACGGCCTATGCACTTGCGCAGGTCAAAGTAGTGGGGCATCAATAAAAAAAGTTAGCAGTTGTAAGCCCCAGCCACCTACGACCAAAAGAAGTTAAGCGTATATTTTTTTGCGAAGCCTGGATCAAACAAATGCTGCCTGGAGCCTCTTTTTGCATATTTCTTACGTCGAACACCATTGACAGACGCTCTGGGATTTAGTTGTGGGAGTAGTTACAGGGCCTGTCAACGTCGAACATTTATTTATTAGAAAGAAAGGCGTTACGCATCACTGAGGTGCCTTTGCTTCGGTGACCGTGTTCAGTTGTGCTTCAGCCATACGTAAAAAGTCTGTCGCTCATTAGATGCCTTAGACAAACACCTTTAGAGAGTTCGAGCGCGGAAAATTGGCGGCCCTTCAGTCAGAAAAACGGTGCATCTTGTTATGACTGATGGTCCTCATAGAGTATTCGTCTCGTCATAGAAGACAAAATTCAACAAAAGCAGTTTATGGATACCTGAATACACCATGCTGCAATTGCTTTTAAGCTTTATTTTATTTTATTTGGATATACTGCGACTTCAATTGAGAGGTTAAAAAAATTAATACTGAACAACAAAAAGAAAACCAAACACTCGAAATATAGATTGGACCATCACTCATCAAGGCAAGGTAAGATTCCCTATTTATAATGTAAAGTAATAACACGGAAACATATGCGTGTACATCCATCAACACTGAGCCATAACTCAATAGTGCGAGTGAAAAAAAATTGAACAATTTATATGAGATTGAAATGGGTCAATGTTCAAAAGATGAGACCGTCTAATGCGAGTGACTAAAAAAAAGAAAAACTTTTTGACGGTATTTTACTGCGTGCCTGCTTGCATGGTGGAGCCACGTCATAGGAAATTTCATCGGGTATGACAAAGGAAAATGTTTGAAGTACCGAAATGGCTTTAGAAATTAATTGAATCCGACAAGACGAGTTGTCGGTGTGGGAAGGATACCATGTTGCCATGGTATATATTATAAGAATTCAGAGCAGTCTGTCCGCGCGGGTGAAGGTTACACAAGAACAAGGGTTCGCAACCCTCATAAAACTAGCTTTGAAACACGGCATCCGAAAACTCCTTACCTGCTGAACCCGAGAAACCCGAAATGTACTGCCGTCTCTTGGTGTAGTCCGGCACAAATTCGCTCTGCGTGGACAATACGAGGTGTTAGCAAGGACATCTCTGCAACAAAACTTGATAAGCGAAAGGGTGGAGTCCGATTTAAGAGTTTGCAAGAACACCAACGTCTTAATGATCATCAGATGCTTAAAGGAGGCCTGTAAGCTTCTGGTGAGTTTAGATACTGCATTCGTCTACTGAACACATTAACACACTAATGCAGCGGTGTACGCGGGATTTCCTTTTGAGAGAGGGGAGGGGGAGGGGGGAGTTAAAATAGTCCCCCTTCTCGACCCCCCCCCCCCCCCCCAAAAAAAAAAAAAAAAAAAGCTTGCAAGAAAATTACGTAAGAGCGCTCACCCAAGATGGAGAGATAAATAGTGAAACAATTTTGGTGGGCGACCTTTCAGGATCTGACAGCAAGATTTCATAACAAACTTGTGATAATAAACATTGGGGCCCCTGCCACAAAATATGTGAAATTGTAACGGATACCGTAAACCGCGGAGGCAGCAAACTCGCACGTCACGGTGCATTAAACACGTGGAAACCGCAGCGAACTCGCTTGTCACACGTACCACTACCGCAGACCGCGTGGTTGATGTCATTTCCGTTAGAAACCGCCTTATAAATATCCGGCGAGAATGAGGGGTGAGCGATGTTTGGTAATGTTTACGTTATAAATATTTGGTCAAAAGGGAGAAAAAGAAAACGAGACGGGCGATCTCTCGGGACAGGGCGTCCAACCAAAAGTTTACGGGCGTTGTTTTTGTTTTTTTCTTCCGAAACTGTTGAACGATTGAACTAACCTTTTCACACTGGTTTTCTAATGATAAATGTAGAAAATACACCCAGGTATCCATGAAGTCAATTTCATGTTTACACACATATTGCAAAAAGCGCCTTTCAGTTTTCTTTGATTTCTAGGTAACCCTTCGTTAAAGATTCTCCAGTGGTGCGCTCCCGACTTTTACCGAGATTTCCAGTGGCTTTTCCTTCTCGGCAACCATTTTCCTGGGGTCCCAGAGGCATACGTCCGACAGTGTAATCTTCGTTGCCATATTACGGCCAAGGCTGTCAATTTCGTCCAATATGCACGCTTCCTGAAATCGTCCAGATGTGTAGAATCAAGAGTGAACAAGTTCCGTTTGGAAATATTCGAGCCGTCTGCACACTTCGCACTGGCGGTATGCACACTTCTCACTGAAGGATTTAAATCTGGAGTTTTAGTGGCGTACTGACGGCCTGAAGTGGACGGTATAATTCGGAAGGAGGTAAATTTTATTGATTTATAAAGAGTCTAGAGTGCCGCCAATACTTTGCAAGCAAGCGTCTTAAACATGGATGTGCACGTTGTCCTACGTTACTCGTTACCGATTCTCAAACGGAACGCGCTACTTTACCTCAAAGACAACGAGTTAGTTTGCTCGTTGCTTTCACGACCAAATACGCAACTACTTTTCTTTTTTTCGTGGTTTATCGCTTCCTCTTTTGTAGTCGTTAAACTAAAGGCCCCTTCACACTCTTGCGACCGAGTACGACTGAGAGAGACGAGATCTCTTAATACGTCCTAAATGTTTTTAGAATGAGGGAACACACTGGCATTGTGGCGCCATCTATGCGGTGACTCTGGAACTGCATTTCACAAGAGCGAAGGTTTTGCGGGATTTCCGAGGTCAAATGTCCGTAATACCCATAGAAAGGCTCGTTTATAACATTGACAAAAGTTTTTCGAGCCAAGAAAGAAAGGATAATGCGCGAGAAATAAAAAAAAAATATGCCGGACCGCCGAGTTTACACTGTTTCCCAATAGATGACGCCAGTGTGTTCTCTGGTTTAAGAAGTTTTAAGGAACCCAGGTTTAAGAGGTCGCAAGAGTGTGAACGGGCCTTTAAGCAGTAGCTGCAGGCTCTCGACATTTTCATCACTTGTTTCCCTGCTTCCTTGAGAATACGTCTCCGGCGATGCTGAAGAGTCGTTTTACTGACGTACTCAAGGGAACGGCAGTGGTGTTCTGCAGGAAGAGTTATGAATCTAGGATTCCCATCTCTTCTTTGTTCTCTCTGCCTCTAAAGTTCGAAGTTGGCAACAGGATACTGCTTCACAGCGCACAAGATCAGACCCACTTAAAAGTAATTTCACGCATACACAGGAAGAACAGGTTTTGTGCCTTCCCGTGTAGGCAGCCTCCGGGTTCACATTCGGTCTGTACACGATTCTAAAAGGTTAAACCAACGAACCTCATTGTGTTCGCTGGGTGAAGGACATTCCCAGCTGTAGAGTTTGACTGACGTGTTTAGCGATAAACATTTTAATGCTGTCATACCGTTTAGTTGTTTCTGGGGTTGCCCATGTGCTTTTGTCGCAATACACGCACACTCAGCTTAGAATTAAAACGACGCTGTTTAAACGGTGATGTACACGTTACTTCCCCAAAATGACAAAATGCCGTTACCCATTAGATGGCCTTAAAAGTATCAAATTATATTACTAGTTCCTTTTCTAAAAAAAAAAGGTAACTAAATAGGTTACTCGTTAACAAAAAAAGTAAACAAGTAATTTGTTACTACTAACGACTTACGTGCATGTCTGGCCCTAACACTGGCCATTCAGTGCGAAGAAAGCAGGACTGTGCCTCGTCTGTAAAACTTACCGCCTCGAAAGAAAAAGAAAGCATACACGCTGTGGACTGCAAAGAACAACTTGCTCTTTAAAGGGGCGCTACGCGCATCTGTATCGCTTGTTTCAGTGACAGCTGGCGCCGTGATGTCTTTGTTGATTCTGCTCGCCGTCTCGTCTAAGCATTACGTGAACAAAGGCAGAGGGTAGCAGTGTCAAGAGATGGACGGATGTCTTTGTCGCGGCACCGACAGCACGAACACACACGTGGCATACGAAAGTAGGATGCCGCACTCACTGCCCCACGGCGAAAGAGGAGGCACAGGTGTCCAGCTGGGGCTTAAAAACGAAGGCGAAACGGGATTCCGTCTCAAACATCAAAGAGCGAGGAGCTGCGATTTAACTTGACCGCGGCGACGCAGTGGCGCCAGTCGGTGTTTGTTATGTAGCTGTGGAAGGTTGAAAGGGAAAGAGGAAATAACAACAACTAAGGAGCAGAGGCGCTTGCACTGAACACCGAACTCGAATGAATCACGGAACCAACTTGACGGCGGCGGCCCGAAATGTTGAAAAAGAAAAACGAAAGGGGGATGAGTTGAAGGTGTTTTCTTTCGGTTGAAACTTTATTTTGCGTCAATTGTTTATTGCTGCATTTGTTCCTTCCTACAAAATAGTGAGACCTTTGTACTTTCTTAACAATGAGCAACAGAAGGACGAGGCTCGGTGGTAATTGATATAGAAAATGTCAGAAGGGAAAAAATCTAATAAATGTTGTACTAATGAAGCGAATTGGGCGAGTTGGTAAACGTTATAGACGTTTTCTGTTTCCTGTCGCTCTCAGTCACTTGGGTTTTGTATCTGGAATGCGCGATGAAAACATAATAAAACATTCCAGCCTGGAATATGCAAGAAAGTATAGGTGAGGCAAAACAAGAATATGTAACAGTCACGCATATTTCGCAAACCCCTTCCAGCGGCGTAGAGAAATCAAAACGATATTTTACCGCACACCAGAAGTGACGACATTCAAGATGGCTGCGCCCTTTTGGAGAATGCGTGTACATGATGAAAACAATTCAAACAACGAAGACGAAGTAAGTTTCTTGACTTCGTATTCGTCGTTTGGGCTGTTCTCTATATGTATTATAAGGGTTGGATTACTTTTTTTAGCACCAATAATTGGGCTGAGCGTCGGGAGAGGGAGGGGGGAGGGGGTCTTTCAGTTTCTTTCCACCTGTCCCTTGTACGGCACTAGACTGATGTTTTCGGCGGGCAAAAAATTATTTTCAGATCAAAAGTATCTCTTGGAATATAGGTGTAACGGATTAGCTGATACTTGAGTAGAGATGAATAAAACAGTCCAATAACTTTCTTAAGGGCTTGGAGTTCATTTTAATATCCCGCTTACCAGATGTGCATTGAACACATAGAAACATAAGTTTTGTTCATGGGACATAAAAAAAAAACATAATGCTTACTTGAATCGGCAGCAATATCAACTTTGGGTATTTACTAATTAAACGAGATTGGTTACCCTAGAGGATCGGCTAAGGAAGCTCAAGTTGAGTAATGTTAGAACCACTACACGAAGTCTATTTACATTGGCGCTGTTGATAACACAAGTAGTCCATCTACCGACGGTGGCCGTAGCACGTGACACAACCGTGGGACTAACCTGGTGCTCGTCCTGCGAAGGAACAATGTACCCAGCCAGTCCTTCCTTTTTCATGACCAGTCGGAGTCGGCGCAGAACGTCGGTTGTGTCCACCCTCATCTGGGAAGGCTTCTGAAAACGGGGTCAGAAGCAATTAGGAACAGAAGCGAGTTTACCGCTTTGTTAAATTAGTTGTTTTGGACACTTAAACGCGAAGAAATACACTATAGTACTGGACTGAGCAAAATAAAGTGCACACATACAAATAATGTCAAACGTCTTATTAGTTAATGCCTTCAAAACGCAAAAATAAAACAAAAAAAAACAGTGCACCTACTTTGAGTGTCTGCACTTGTCAAAATAGTTACACAATAGTGAATATCACCCCGAAACGCTGTCCACGCCAAGGACGTGCTTCTTGTGTTGTGGTAGTTTTCCCGCGCCACCGTCATACACCACCGAATGCAATTTTAACTTGAAATGTTCTTTGGTAAGGTGTTCGGCATTTCGTGAAACCCAGATAAAAGTGTGGCCGCGAGGTTCGACACAAATAAGTTGACGTGTTCGCAGAGAAGAAATAATTAACGTGTCCGGCGCTGATTAATTAACGGGGTGACCAGAGGGGCAGGCCAGGCAGGCGAGGAGGAGTGAGGTAGGCGAGGGGGAGCTCGACCACCTGTGCGCACTGAAGGACAGGAGCTCGAGAGTATAAAACGCTCTGAAAGGTCGCCAGGTTTATCAGGGGATTTACCGCACGGCGATAGCGTATCTTTCTTTTTTTTCTCTCTTTTCAGAGTCTTTGGTTTTCTTACTCGTCTCTACAGTTTGTATAACGTTTCTATACGAGCTATCCACCTGTCGTTTTCTGAATTACTTTTCAATTTGGTCTTGTATAATGTTTGCGGAACCTACTGCAAGGATGTCTGTAAATAACTTGTAAATAAACTTGTTTCGTTGGAAAAAAAAAAAAAAAAGAGGAAGTGGCCGAGTGGGCTAACGCGTCTCAGCTCGGAGCGTGGAGCGAAAGCTTGCGCTGGGAACCTCCTGGGTTCGATCCCCGCCGCCCCCGCCCGTTTCGATCTGGATGAGTTTCGTACCGGCACGCGTTCGTGTGATCACTACTGCGTGATGCACGTTAAAAATCCCAGGTTAGCGGTTGTACCCCACTGGCCAAATTTCTCATCTACAGCTAAGAGACCGATTACCCGTTGAGGCGCATATCCATCAAGGCTGTATAAACATAAAGAGAAAGCCAATTTTTTTTTTCAGGTTTATCGGCCCGATTAGCGGTAGTATAATTCATTCTAGGAAAAACTATCAAGTGTACACATGGTACGCGTTAAACTATCTAGTGAAAAACGTCGTGAACACATATGTATCTGGCGTCTCGAAACTCGGAGTATCGCGAAACGTTTGCGATGCTACAACGTTTCACGTATACAAAAAAAAATCTTATGAGCATCGAGCTCAAGATGAAAGAAACAGTCAACGAAGACTGCAAAACACGGAGGGCAAGCTGCTCGGCTGCGGTCGCAATGATTAATCCCAGGATTAAACAATTACACACGCTGCGGTAACAATAGAATTGGACATCGCTTCCCCCTCCTTTTGGCATCTAAAATAACGTATTATTAATTCCCCTTCTGGAGCACTGAGTAAGGCAAAAACCAACCAGGACATGCAGTATTGTTTTGAACTAAAATTTTTTTAAATTATTTTTTTAGATTAATTGAGCGTGGACTTAACCATACCATGCAGTCGTCGTTTGAAGAACCGTTCGTGCTACCGTTGTGCTGGATTCCCTCGGTAGACTGGCATCCGGAGGGCAGGATGACGAAATCTGGGTATTAAACGAGAATTCCATGTTTCATGTTACTCCAAATGAAGCGTTCAATTAACGTGCATGTACGTGTTATGCTTTGAGAAATTTATTTGTTTGATCTCTTCAGGTGTTTTGATTGCGGGGAAGCAACCCGGTATTCTAGGGATGCTACACGGCAAATACTCATGCCATTGCAAACGCAGGGTATGGATTTGTTGCTTCTCGATAAAGAATTTCCATAGAACTCGCTGTTCAGATTTCTGTGAGGTTCAGTATCCTCACAAGAAGAAAACCCCATAGGAAGAGCTTGCGAACGGCGTGCAGGGTTTGTTTCCGTAAACTTACACTATGAGGCACATGTTCTGCGCTGGGAGATACCTTATACAGCACACGACGAAGGTTTAGAGGCACTTATATCAAACCACTTGAGCGCAGCATTTGAAAATACAAAACGGATGGTAGGCAAAGATTTAGGGACACGGTTTTTATAAAACAGCCGAAAAAATAAGCATTGTCAATTATAAATAGCGATAGATTTGCGGTGGATTTCGAATAGTAGATTTACATTATACATACAGTCTTCATTCGTAAAAATTATGAAATGTATCCTTTATCAGACGAAGGTTCAAATTGTCCAAGAGAGAGAGAGAAGTGTTAAAAGGAAAGGAAGCCTGGACAAATTGTCCAACAAAACCTACAGCGCGCGGAAATAAATAAAAAAATAACGACAACAAGAAAGTTATGAACCATTATAATGCAAAGAAATGCAAAGGTGCAAGCGAGCTGGATAAGAATAACGGAAATAATCCCTGGAGAAGGTGAACAAGGGGGACAAATGACAAACACAAATCTCCAAACACAGCTAGGTGACTGATGCGCGACCGAAAATCATAACCTTAACATGCATGCCGGTCACCCTTGTGGATGGTAGACTGGTGGCAGCCGATAAAACCCTTTGCTCTACTGACGTCTAAATCCTGGTTAGCTCAGTTGGCAGAGCGCTCCACTGGAAATGAAGAGGCCCCTGGTTCGGTATGAGGACCAGGCGGATTTTTTCGGCCGCGCACCAGACACCTAGTTGTGTTTGGAGACTTGTGTTTGCCTTTTGTCCTCTTTGTTCCCCTTCTCCAACGATCATTCCGTTATTATAAACAATTGCGGAAAAGGCCTTTTCGCCGGAACCATTTTCAGTGTTCGGGGATATGGCGCGTGCTTTGTTTGCTTTCCCCGTGCCGGGCGGTGATTTTTCTATACATTGAAATGATGTACGAGGGATTCCAATAATCGCTTTCCGTGAGCTGCCAACTTGGTTTGCTGGACTGTGAGAAACATTATGAGCATGCGGAGCAGCTCTCTTCTGCGAAATATTAGATGTCGCGCAGGCATCCACAGCCCAGGAACTCGTCATTGGAGAGTTTTAGTGGAACGTTTCTGCTTCCCGCTACGCCATGCGCTAGAGCTACACCCCTACGGCGCATGCGCGCTGCGCTGCTAGTGGAGCTGCGGAAGCAATAGCGGAGGCGCGTTCTTTTAAGGGCACAGGGTAAGGTAAAATTGAAAAAAAAGTCGATTTTAGTTTTTTTCGCAATTTGAAAAGTTTAGTTCTTTCTGCACATTTTCCATTGTCCCAGTGTTTTTAGAAAGCTATATTTTGGGCTGAAAATCACTTCTTCCGAAAGCAAGTAGCAGGTGACCACGCCTCCTTTTGGGATACACTCCCTGTTTATCGATGAATTCTCCAACAAAACAAAATCAACACAAGACCTAAACGCTTGTCCAGTAACAGATAATCTCAAAAAATTATTTCGCAACTATTGCATAGCTTTTTTTCAACCAAGACAATCACGAGACGCGGTGCACGTTTTTCCCAGGTGTGTACCGTGTGTACATTCAAGCGTTTGTGTTTTCGTAACGACAAAATGGCGCCATTGAATGCTGTTCCTTTATTCAATGGTGGCAGCATTGCACAAGCCAATGTTTTGAAGTTTTGTGGATGGAACCCTGTGTGGAAAGCCATCAAGTGGCTGAGGGAAGTTGACGTCACTCTAATATACTTTACGGACCAAGCGACATGGCGGGTCACAAAAGAGGCCCGGCAAGCAAGGCGATAAGCCCTAAAGGCGAAGACATGAGTTTAGCAATGCCTTTCAAGCTGGCGGCTATTGAAAAAATGACTCTGAGGCTGTTGGTGCCAACAGAAATTCGTTATTCACCAGTTTTTTTACTTTAAACACAATTATCTTAAAATAGTGTTTTTTAGTACATAGGTACCATTTTTTCCTTAACCTGACATTATAGAAGGTTGGTTTTTTATTTCTACCACATACATGGCTGTTCAAAAATACTGAACTAAAATTAAAAATGTGCACCTAGCAGTTTTTAAGTTACAAGGTTTTTAATAGATGAAAAGAACTAAAATTTCAGTACTAGAATATAAAAATATAAAAAGAAAACTTATTTTAGATTGGTTCAAATAATTCTAGTTCAGTGGATAAAACACAATATTTCGAACAAAATGATATATACATGACAGGAATACTCCTAATAGTCACCGAGAAAAATGTTCCTCAACATGGCCTCAAATGCATGGGGAGTATAGGACTTACCCTGTGCCCTTAAAGGAGCGATGCAACAATTTTTGTACTTTGCGCAAATACCGCTTAAAACGGATCCATAACGCTAATGACCTATGAAACACGCGTTCGTTCTTTACCCCACGTAACAGAAGTCCCAGAAAAATATTTAAGAAAAACGAGCAGCGTTCACCCCCTCAACTCGCAGCCAGAACAAGCGGCCACGTGATCTGAAGCGAGTATATGCCGCCAGTGTTGATCATAGCCACGCGCTGGGGTTGGCAAAGCGCAGGACACGCGCTGAGTTCCACACATTGTTATGGCTCGGCTGTTGTCGTCGTTGCAGCGATTGGACACGGGTCACAACCCGAATGCTTTCCGAGCAAGCAATTGTCACGAGCCGAAGTCGAGTGCCCACGCAATGCTCGGGTCCAATCTATGAACCTCATTCAAATATCGTCACTTGGGTGTACTGCGATCCTCGAGTTACGTCATCAAATTTTGCAAAGGAGAGATTGAATGAAAATGATCGCTTTAGTCCTTGAAATTACACCGCAACAAAGGAGTTTCTTGGCCAATGGCGTTGCGTCTGAGTATCATTGAGTCCCAGGTGTGCCAGTAAGTTCGTATAGAGAGAAAAACATTCCAATTGAATATCGTTGCACAGCTCCTTTAAGAAAATTGCGAGAAACGTAGCGCGCGTAGCGCGGCGTGCGAGCGTGGTCTGGCGGGCACGAGTCTTTGCGATATTAGAGAAAACGAGCGCCAGGGAAACTATTCAAGATGTCTGCTACGCCGCATGTGCCAGCTTCCCGATCGTACTTGTCAGGGGCGGATGATACCTCGCTGCGGCGAGAAGTAGCCGCGACCAATCCGTTGCAGGATTCCGACAGGTAGCGATTTATTGTAGACATGGTAAATACTGCTACGGTCAGAAAAGAGGAAGAAGAAAAAAAAAAGGTTCGGATTTCGTGCTGTTCGCGAAAAATTAGACTTCCTGCTTCGCCGCTTTCGTTGTGAAGACAGAATCAACCAAAGAAGTGAGCCACTAGGCGAATCCGGGAGTTACGCGGCGTTTTAGTTTTGAGGAACAGAGAGAAGGTAAAAAAAAGACTGATCACAACGATACACAAAAGCCACGATTGTTGTCGTTCCCGAAGCTTTGTCGTGATAGCTTGGCGCTTGACTCCAATCGGATCGGCTTGGTCAGCTGGGCCCCAAGTCCAATATACGCACTTTTTTCGATAAAAAATAATATTATATTTGAATATTAACGCTAACTAAAGGATACTGAGAATTTTTTTACAACCTTTATTTCACGTAAGTTTTAGTGACCGAAACTGTCACTAGTCGCGTGGCGTTAGCTCTCGTAACGTTATGATCTCTTACGGGTTGCGGCACTCTACTAAAAGTTGAAACCGCGGCTCCGCTAGAATACAAGGAGCATAGGTTGTAGGGGACTGCGGATAGCTAGGGTTCCGTGTTTTCGGATAAATCCGAAAAAATCAGAAGAACATTCGCCGGTAGCTTTTCCGTCAATGCGGATTTATCCTAAATTTAGAGATAAAAAAAACGATTATTCTTTTTTAAGTTATTTTTATAAGAGCACAGGGTCAGTGGTCCCAAGGTGATGCAGCTTCAGCTTCATTTGAAATCTCGAACTACAGACAAATGGTTTGCCATTTAGCTCATCGAGTGTCCTTTAGAACAGCGGGTTATCGCACCCAATCTTTATTAATATTTTTTTTTAAATTGGGGACACAGTAAAGTAAACTCCCATTTTCAGAGAATTGAGAATCTAACAAAAATGAACACCGAAAAACGCCGACTTTTCATCGAAAAATGAACTCCAAAAAACACCCTCCGAATTTCACTTGATATAAACTCCAAAAACACGGAATCCTATGGATAGCGTAGAGAGAGTTTTTCGCAGAAGTCACCAAATTTAGGGCCTCTAAACACAGCCGTTTACTGTATGTACAGTAAACGACGCGCCATTTTTAAGCAATTGCCACCATAGGTAAATATAAACGCCAAGCTTTCGACGTCTTCAATAATTTGATTGAACGAGTTCGTACACTTCAAAAAATTTTCTATTCTTTAGGTTCCAACATATTTCCAGTTTCGTTATTCTCTGAAATCAATCTCCGTAGATTGCAGCGATCGGCTTTCCCAAGTATATTGGGGTAACTAGACGCACAAGATTTTGCACAAGCCTGATACTCAGCTCCCTAGAAATAAATCAGCTCTTTAAGTTGGTGACCACCAAAAACTAAAAGAAAAGAGCTTGTGGAAATATTCTGTCCAAGGTGTTTCGCAAGCAAGACGCCTGTGTAAACAAGCGGTCCATCAGGCGCCCGTGTCGGCCCAAAAATATGAGCGTGGCAGCGTTACTCCCCCCTGCCCGAGCAAACGAGTGCGAGGCCCGAACAAGCCTCCCGGGAC